GATGTATAACTTTACAAACTTACATCTTACCTGCAGACCAGATCTTTAACATCTTATCCCAGGATCCACTGCAGAACTGTATGAACAGAAACATTTTGTTAAATATTGATTCAGATGGACCTTGGAAGAGAGACCTGCTTGAAAAATGGGTTCTGACACACAAATAACAGTGCTGGGCTCCTAAAATCCCCCCCAAAATGCTTGGCATACATCAAAGTATTCTTTCTACTTCCTTTGTAGGAAAAATATCTACAGAATACCCATTTCCTTCAGCACCAAAAAGTTTGACTTTAAACTGTCTGATATTGAGTCAAGCTGGGAGCAGTGACTCCACCTTTGGTAGGAGTGCTCATAACTGTTGAATTCCTGGGCGAAAGGAAAGAACCTCTTTATCACCTGCTTCTTCCAAGAACTCTGGAAATTTTTTTCCCACCAAAACTGCCACGAAAATTTAGGTCAAATGTGAAAATACTTCATTATAGCATACAATTCTCATGCAATTAAATTTTAACTTGTTTTCTAAACAAAATGATTTTGTGATTCTATGGCTTAGCATTGATGTGACACTCTTAATCCTCAATAACCACCACTCATAACAAAACTGGGAAATTATCACTTTGTCATAAAATCATAATGATGAATACCCATGCAAGGACAAAACCAGGATTTTCGAGGTACAGGCTGCTAAATCCCAATCCACTAAGGTTTCTTTCCAGAAGTCACTCACTTTGGTTCTTGTGCAATCAACAGCCACGGACTCGACACTGCCAGCGTGTCCCCTGCAGCAGTGAAGGGCTTTCACTTTGTTTTTCTCCATGTTCCACTCCCAGAGCAGGACAGTTTGGTCCATGGAAGCACTGAGTAACAGGCATGATAAACTATCTGAGGAAGAAAAAAGTTACACTCATGCCCAACTCAGCTTTCCAAGGTTTTTATAAATAATTATTCTAATCCTAGAGGAAATAGCAGATAGACAGAAACTTATATGTGCTTCAGTTCACATCATGTTGCCCTGCAAGTACAGTTACTATAACTACATATACACCAGCATTTGCTAATGGAGACTGCAGGGTGGATAGAACACAACCATCTTAAAGTGACTGTATTCATTATTGTCAAAGGACTATTTTCTGCACACCATGACTTAATTTCTTACACCGTTGACAGAGATTTAAATAATTACATTTAGACAATTAAATATTCATAGTTAAGGAATGCTAACATTCCCCCCCAGTAAATCAAACCACTACTATCCCCCTGCTATATATACTGACCTTGCTTCACCCACGCCACATCCTTCACTACTTCTGTGTGCCCAGCTATTGTGGTGATGGATTTTCCCTCCACAGACCAGATCCGAGCAGTCTGGTCGTAGCAGCCAGTTAATATCCTACAGGTACAGCATTGGAAACATCTTTAAGACCAACAAATGTTTTTATGAAATAAAGCCTCAACCAGAAACCTGGCAAAACTATTAGCAGAGTAACCAGTTTAAAAGAAATAGCATGAAAGAGGAACAAATATCTTTTTGCTACGTAGCAAAGCTTTGTTAAAGCCTTGCAACTGGGAGGCCAAGAGTACAGGCTAGAAAGACAAGCAGTGAGAGTACTGCATGTTCTGGTTGATGTGACTTAATATCCCTTATACAATTTACATAATTCAAAACTCAATTTGTTAGTTTTACTATGTTGCCAGAGGTTCTCAAAGCATTTTCAAATCTCTATTTAAGATATGAACATTACCAAGCTCATTGGGAAATAAATGTGAAAATTCAGTAGAAAAAGGCAATTTTGCCTCTTCGGCTTTTTTTCAGGAAAATCTCTGGAGAAAGGTAAGCTATTCTATTTGTTGCTGATGGGTGTCATGTTGGAAGTCAAGGGTTTAAGCAAAAAAGAGTAATGAGGAAAACTTGTTTTCCTTTAAGAAAAAGGATACTAAACAGCATTTATTTTGTTCATTTGTTTAAGCAATATCTCAAGTTCAGTGTCTCTAGCTGCTTTCTACCTGTGTTAAAGTCACTGTTGTGACAGTATAACAAGCGAACCGCTTACAAAAGCAAGTAGCTGACTTGACAGGTTAAAAAAAAAAAAGCAAAGAGGAAAAAAAAACCACCCAAAGGATTATTAAAGAGAAAATACCACTCTATTTGATACCAGGGAGGAACATGAATAAGCAAGACAAAACTTAGAACTGGCTTAGTGTGGTACCATTCTTCAGTGGCTTGAACAGAACTGATCCAGTCATCGTGGAAGATGCATTCTTCTGGCTGAGGGGCCATGTATTTCTCCACATACTCTATTTCCACCACTTCTTCCTGAGCTCACAGACAAAATACTTATTTAGTGATGTAGAATGGTTTTGGTTTTTTTAATCACTTAACAGTAAAATTTAACTGTAGTGTGGCACAAATATACAAGTTTATTGAGCAAAGGTCTTGGTATCCAAGTCCTTTGCCACATCAGTAGAACAAAAATATTTAGAAAAAAAGTGTGAATTACATTGATTTCCATCGTTTTATCAAATTACTATTAATAGCAAGCTAGAAGCAAAAGCAAGTGATTTCAGTCTTCTTACATTTCTCCTCTTCTACATTTACTAATACAAAACTGGTGTCTAAAACACTGCAACATTTTCTAGAGGTAAGATTAAACATCCCCATTATCCCCCACCATAAGAGACAAAAATGTATTAATGAGGAACTGAATAGAGAGAAGAATTTCCCTCTGAGCTGTACACAGACAAGATTGGATAACATCCTTGCACTGCTCTGTCTGTAGTCTCTAATCACTGCAGTTTGTAATAGATTTAAAAATATAGGGAATTCTCCTGGGAAAGAAAAGAAATGAAACTGAGCAAGGAAATCTACCCAGCCAACAGTGTAATATCTAAATCAGATTGAAGCAAACTGGCTAAATATGTTCTACTGCCCAAGAAGGAGAGACACTGAGTATGACTTACTGTGGAAATGTTTTCCATTTCCATGTGTGTGACCAGCGGCAACCGCAAGAACTGGCCATTGATGAGGAAGTCAAATTCCACATACTTGTGATCCTCTGAAACAAATGGCGAAAATCAATGTTCAGGTGTCACTATTTATTTGTCACTGTCAAGAATGGTATAATTTTGTGAATGGTTCAGGAAATGGAGCCAGGAAGAGTTTGAAAAAGACCCAAACATAAACAACCCCAAAACAAATGACAACAAGAACAAAAACCCCAACCAATTAGTTTCTTCTCCCAGTTTTAATTGAGCAGCCCTTTACTTCTACAGGATTATGTAAGAGGAAGGAAAATTTGCTGTTGGGGTTCAAAGAGTTGTTTGCCTCTTATTGTATTTTCTCTGTAGCTCTATGTAATCAAACCCCAGTGGTGCTTCCTGACTGTTCTGTAGGGATCTTGCCATTCTCATTACTACCAGCTAGAGCCCTGTATTTGTGGCAACAGTAGGAAAATTCTAAGAACTTTTGGTTCATATTTCTCCCTTTGTAATGGCATAAATGACAAAGGCTCTGCATTTTGTTAGAAGCACTGCACTGTGGACCAGTTTCTGTTCAGAATTGTTTGCAATGTCACGGGTTGAAAGCAACTTGCAAAAGGTTCAAGAAGCAGGGTATAATACCACTGACCCAGTTTCTTATAGAAAATGGGATTTTCCAGCAACATAGCACAAGTGGCTTTCCCAGATCAGCTTTCAAGTCAGTCGGCCCATTTCAGCACCGACAGAATAGGTGAGTTTTCTTAAAGGAAGGTTGTTATAAAAACGAAACCTCTGGTTTCATTAGATCTTGTGCCAGGTTTGGGGCAACACTTCCATTCCCATCTGCTGCGGCAGCCTGGCCTGTGGTGCCGGGCACACAGAGCATTCCAGCCTGTGCTCCATCTCTCTGGGAATGCCCGGCAGCGCCGGTACCGCAGCGTTTCATTCACATCAATTCCCGGATTGCCTCACGGCAGGCAGCCGGGCCACAGCGGCGGGGCAGGACCGGCTCGGGGCTCGCGGGTGCCGCCGGCTGTGACAGCCCGCGCGGGGCCGGGGCCGGGCCCGGCCTGGGGACACGGGGCACGCCGGGCTCCGAGGGGCCGCCCCGGCCGCGGCACCTACCGTGCGCTGCGGCCAGCAGCTTGTTGATGAGGTGGCTGAGGTCGGTGGTCTCGGAGGTCGCGGGCACCGAGAAGGGCACATCCTCCACGGCGAACCTGCGGGCACAGCGCTCCGTTACCGCCTCCGCGTCACCCGCTCCCGAACCCACCCCCGGCCCGGCAAGGGGAGGCCGCTTACCTGCGGTTCTCGGTGCGGAACCGCGCCGTGAGCTGCGCCATGGCTGTCGCCGGCACCGAGCACGTGTCGCGGCGCGCCCCGGCCGAGCCCCCCGCGGGACCGCGCGCCGCCCGCGTGCCGCGCGCCCGCCGCGCTCCCGAGAGGCCGCGCGCCGCCGCCTTCCCGGCGCCCCCCGCGCGCCCCCGCCCCGCTCCGGGCTGAGGGCGGGCGCGCGTGCGCGGAGCGGAGGCGCGCATGGCGGCGGGGCTGCGAGAGCCGAGCCCAGGTGGAGTAACGCGGCTCCGGCATCTCCCCCCGGGCCGCCGCGACGGGGCCCCGGCCGGTGCTTCCCGCTGCCCCCGCCGCGGAGCTGTGGTGCCGAGGGGTGCGACGGGTGCGGGCTGAGGCGCCCTCCGCGCTCCTCGGGGCTGGGGCGCGTTCCGGGGTCCTTCGCAGGTGCGAGAGCGGTTCTTGGGGCCGCTCCTGAGGGCGGCCGCCCCGGGCTGTGCCGGGCTGTGTCCGGGCTGTGCCCCTGCTGTGTCCGGGCTGTGTCAGGGCTGTGTCCGGGTTGTGACGGGCTGTGTCCGGGCTTTGCCCGCGCTGTGCCGGGCTGTGCCCCTGCTGTGTCCGGGCTGTGCCTGGACTGTGACGGGCTGTGTCCGGATTGTGCCGGGCTGCGACGGGCTGTGACGGGCTGTGCCCCTGCTGTGTCCGGACTGTGCCGGGCTGTGACGGGCTGTGCCCCGTGTGCCGCCCGGGGTCGCTGGAGCGGTGGTCTCTGCTCGGAGTCACTCGGGTTGTGTTTCTCTGCACGTCAAGCGGCACACCCACATTAAACTGCCTACTAGAAGTAATAAACCCAACGCGCGGTGGACTTATAAAGAAGCTGCAATTGAGTTTGGTGTTCTGGGAGAAGGGTGCTTGTGTGAGGACATGCTGTGTGCTTGCTCTGTTTCTAAATTTTTCTCCCCCACCTTTTTGACAGTTGTTCGTGGCCTCTGGGAACAGCCGGGGTTTCCCTGAGTGGTGACTCGGTGTTGGAGCGGGCGGGTGCTGGGTGTTTGCTGTTTCGTGAGGCTCTGAAATCTCGTCTATTTCTGAAGCATACTTCACAGACCTAGCGTTGTTTGTCAGCGAAATTGACACAGGGTCATTTTCCAGCTATTGGCGTTGTCTACCAAAAACTGACTTGAGAATCCTTTTATGTGTGAGTCCCCAGATCTTCTCTGTATTGTTAACAGCATCTTCTTCTTCTTCCATCATAGAGATAATGCTAAATCTCAAACTTAGTACAAGCTGACAAAGCTAATTGTAACTCCTTTACTGGGAAGTAGCACTATGTTCTGATTTCCTCCCCGATATGTTTTGCTGTAATTCACGCCCTTGTGAATTTGTTGTAGAGAAATGTCCTCAAAGGGAGCTTTTTCAGACAGTGAATTTTGATTGCTGTAAGCTATGCTGTTATCCAAAGTCTTCTTATAATCTTGTAGAAAACTCAAAAGAAATTGATGGTGAAGCATTCAATTGTATGTATTTTCTGTTAAGTATAACCAACACTCTGCATACTGTGCTCATGTGGTTAGCATGTTTGCCTGTGGCAGCAGTTTCTGTGGCTGCTTGCTGTCTTTGTAGAGGTGAACCTGGGACAACAATGGCCATAGATTTCCCTTTACTTGAGAAAAGGGCTTCCCAAATGGAAGCAGGGTGAAGGAAATAGACCTGTGGCATTAAAATACCCTAACCCATGTGTTGGAAATGCCCTGGAATACTGGAATCAGGAAGCAGCCTATAAAGTGGTGGGAGTGGAGTTGTGTTAAGGCTAAAGCTGAGGCACAGTGATCTGCCTGTGTGCTTGAGGACGCAGCTCTTGTTCCCACTATACACTAGCATTAAACTTCCACATTTCGCCTTCAGCCAGCTGTTAAACGTGTGATGCCCTGGTGTTACAGTGGGAATTTTTGTGGTGCTCACCTAATGTTTATGAAGTGATACTTACATGTTATTTACACGTTCCTAACAAATATCCCTATATTTATGTATACATAAATATACAGGATTTAACTCTCCTGTTTGGAGAATTCTTCAGCAATATTTATACAACTGTAAGATCCATTAACTGTGCATGTACTTGTACACCTCTGTAGAAGCATATTTCTTTTAGACAAAAAATAATAATTTTTGTTTGTGGTTGCACGCAAGCACTTGGGTTAATGAAACCTGGATGGTTAAACCAGGATGTTGATTTTCCAAGTGGTGTGTGTGCCAGTGGTTTGCCTGGGTTACAACACTGATCAGACAAAATCATGGTACAATTTTGTACCACGGGGATTATATTAAACACAAATATAAAATATATGGGCTGCTTATGGAAGGAAGCTGGATAAATATCACTGTGTATTTACCTCACTGCTGGATTTTCCCCCCTGAGCTTTGTTATTAACCATTGTTAGCTACAGGATGTTGGGCTGCTGGGGTCATTGGTGTGTCCTCATAGAGCTGTGCTTGTGTTCTGTTGTTGGGTTCCAGCATGCTCAGAGTCCGTGTTATCGGTATCTGGAACAAACTCAGTTTATCTCAAAGAACTAAATGTGCTGCTTTTGCAAAACTGCTGTCTCTTCTTTACATCTTTGAACTGAGAGGAAATGGTTGAGTGATGATGAAATCTGGTTTTCTGGGTTTTTTTTTTTCCATTTGCTGCTAAGATGCTTCAGACATTTTAACTGAAACATCTTATAATTGTTCTCAGATCCAAAGCTCAAAAATATTTGGTAAACATGAGGTAACTTCATTTGGAGCTTGGTCTGGAGTGTCATCACTTGAAAATTGAATGGAAAAATAAATCTGCTTTAGATTAGAGTATTAATATATTGAGCATATGAGCTGCTTAACTTCTCAATGTTGTTTGTATCAGCAGGATGCTTTATTCAGCTTCAAAAGCCAAGGAGATGTGGATTTACTTTGCCTTTGTGTCCTTTATACCTTTGCAAAGCAGAATAAATCTGTGCTTTAAGAGTTGTACGGTTCTTTTGAAGTTACTCTCTAGCCTGTTACAGTCTCCTTGCAAAAGCTGTAAACAGTTGAAGTACCAGAGCCAAGAAGGTCCATCTTGAGGAATTTGCTTGCGTGGTGTGGTGAAGAAGATACAGCTGGTAGGAGTCATGTGCTAATATAATGCAGCCTGTCTTTAAAATAAAATACTGAAGAGAAAAATCGTGACCACCCTTCCCCCTCCTTCACCCCAAACTCCAGGAGTTTTCTGCTGTTCATTTGGGTATGTTGTGTGTGTAGTTTTATAGATGTAAACTCTTGTTAGGCAGGGGCCAAGTTAATTGTCATTTTGTCCTGCTGCTTGTGAATGTTTGGGATTGGTTGCTGCTTTAAAGGGTGTGCTGTGTGTATGAGAGCATTGTCCTGTGCATGTGGCAATTCACTGTCCAATATTATCTGTCTGTTTGAAGGTTTGCAGTGGGCAGCTGAGTATCTTGAAGCTTCCTTTGGGATAGGAGGTAGATCTCTGAACTGCTGGGAACTCTGTCGTTTTGTCTTCCACCACGTGATTAATGCCAAATTTTGTTTTCCATATCTGGTGTTTTTTTCTGCCCAAAGCATATCACTGTAGGCTAACAATAGTAATTTTATTTCTTTTACATGCTGTCTTATAAGCCTTTAAAACAAATTGATTTACTTCAAGATGTCTGCATGACAGAGTTGCATAATGCAAATTCTGTCTGGTGATTATGGAAGAAGGTGACTAATGTTTTTATAAAGCACTGCTGGCATGTGCTTAAATATCAAGTGTTCTCTGGATGTGTGTGGTTGTTAGTTCAGTGCTTTTGGACATATTCAGATGAAAATTGTGGGAGGGTGTTTTGTATCTGTGTATGCAATGACAAATCAAGCAAATTGTCTCTCATAAAAAGCTAAGCTCTACTCCTGGAGCAGCACACTGGAATTTTTCTGCAGTGAGTAATAATGTGATAAGGAGGCAAGGATTTCTGGAGAACTTTGCTGTTACCTTGCAACAGCATTAGAACTTGTAACACTGAGTTTGTAAAACCTGAAGACACCTGACCTGCAGCAATCTCCTGGCAGAAGGCTAAAATGAACTTCTGTAACCTTTTCAGGTCACCTTGTAATGGAAGAGAGTGGAGCTGACCATGATATTGCTATGGAAGGATCTAATGATTTGTTCATAGGCAGCTGTAGTGCTACAGGAGAGTCAGAAACAAATGATCAGATTTTTCAGGTGAGCTATGAATGCTTTGTCCTTGTGGATGCTTCCTTTACATCCACTCTGATGAGTTTCAAATATGCTATTTCATCAATGCAGGGCTTTTTCTTGCCCTTAGAGTAATGCATCATGTCTTTTAAGAATGTGCATCCTTCCCTTGGATTCCTGTGCCATTCAGTTTTGAACTGATTAATATCCAGATGTTACATGTAATGACAACCTCCAGTGATTATTTCCTGCTATGGTGCTGAGGAAATGCATGTTTTATTTTGTTAACTCTTTAAAAAAGAATGCTTTGTGACATGTGTTGGAGTAGGAGAGGTTCAGAACAGGTGAAAATGAGGTGGCATTGCTTAGTGACCAAATGTGACAAATAAAGAGTCCAGGGACACAGGACACCTGTGCATGTATTGAGGGAGAGGAGTCTTTCATGTATTTTTTATTAGATATTGTCAGATCTTCTTATTTGGGGAGATTTCTGTGCATGAATCCTCTTCTGCAGAATGTTTTTCTGACGTGAAATGTCATTCAGGTAGTGATTTACTTGTGTGCTTAGGGTCTGTGCACAATGGCTTTAACACAACAGGTGCCACTTGTTTGGTGCTGCTTTTCTGGTGTAGTTCAGTTTCAGCACAGAGAATTTATACCTGCAGAATTTTTGATGGGGCTATTTAGATCGAATCTGACTTTAGATAAAATTTAGAAACACTTTTCCTGATTCTTTGATTTGTAGTGTATTAATCTTTGTTGCAAAAACATCAGAGTTATGTGTGCAGTTGCTGCAAGAGATAGAACAAATTGCAGCCCTTCTTGCACTGGCCAAATGACGCCTTGACATGTTATTGTCACAAGGACTGCCTATTTTCCCATTATTTTACATGCTTAATGTTTGTGTTGTCAGAGTTTCCACAAGACAAGTATTTGTACCTATGCTCTTTATTTTAATGAAGATGGCATGTACTCTAAGACTTTGCTTCTACAAACTTGATGAAGATACACTCTATTTTTTAAAGATTTTGAAACTCTGATTCTTGACCTTATGCTGTACAATTCCTGGCCTTGAATTGGAGGTTGTGTTGCTTGTATTTCTTCTGTGGTAAAGAATTTTTAAAATGTGTAGAGATTTTTTTTCTTCATAGCTAAATGCATGTATGGAAAGGCCAAGTGGAAGAGTATCTAGGATTTCAAATCAAGGTGGTGAATATTTTACAGTTTTGTTTTTGGTATAAGTCTCAGTTTCTGGGCAGACTTGAGGTGTTTTAAAGTCATACATGGTTTTTGGGGAGTAGATTTTGAGCAAAAGGGATTTTCTTTTGTCTTGGTAGAGAGACTTCATTCTAGGAAGCAGGAATAAGAATACTTTTCAGCATGGAAGTAGCAAACAAAAGTAGAACTGCTAGTGTTAGCCTCTTGGTCCAGAAGGACAAGAGCTCCTCTGAGTGTATGTTATTGCGCACTGGTTTTAAATGTTCTTTTCTCTTTCTTGTTTTGTTTGTTGTTTTTTTTTCCTTCGTAGAAGTTGCTGCTCAAAGTACATTTGACCGTTTTTCCTCTGTGAAAGCAACTGAGGTGCATGGATCCCAGGGATCTGTTGTTCGGCCGGAGCGACTCTCCCCCAGCCCTGCCCATCGCAGTCCCCCTGTCGGGCAGCCCTCCCCAGGCGCGGTCCTGCTCTGCCGAGGAGCTGCACGGGGCAGAGCAGCCCAGGCAGCCGCTGTGTGAGCTGCAGCCCCTGCGAGGGCCCGGTGCGCCCATGGTGAGTGTGGGCTGTGTTCGCACACCAGGGAGCTCGCTGAAGAGCTCTCTTACTGGTGGTTTGGTGTGGCAGCAGCTGATTCACACTTTATATCTAGCAACAAGGTGGAACTTCTCTGTGGTACGGTTCATGCTCCAGTTGCCCTTCTTCAGGTAGGCAAATCCTGTCTGCAGCAATTACTAATTTTAAACTGATGTCTTTTGAGCCTGGATGCTGCAGTGTGACAAGATCTTGTATTTCTACTGCTGCTGCTTTCTCTATATTCCCTGGATAAATCTCTGGTTTTTTGGGGGAATCAGAACATTAGCAGTAAGCTAAGTCATTATGTTTCACCTTTCTCCCTCAATTAATTTTCTTAAAATGTTACTTTGTAATTTGTAACACCTATTTTGTAAAAAAGGCAACTCTCTCACCCAGAGTCCTGTGTAATTATGTCCTGTGTAAATGTACCAAGAGGAATTGTTCAAGTTTTTCAGAATCCCAGATGATTGAATTTGTATTGTTTTTTTAAGCCATGGGACTTTTCTTCTCTCTGGGTTTTCATGAAATGCTGCCCATAGAGGTCAGTTTCTTAGAAGTAAAGCTCACAATTTTTATGTTACTATTAGTTCTGCTAGTCCATGAATGGAGTTACAGTGAATCCAACTATGAATGGCTTCCAGGTGTTTGTGTGTAATAGTAGAATTGTCAGTTTCAAGTAAATGTGTAATTCATTGTAGAATCAGGTAAAGTACTGGGGTTTTTTTTCTTTCTTTCTTTAATTAAAGACCTATTTTAAAAGGGGAAAGTAATTTTAAGAAATTGACAATAAAGATACAGTTTGCTTATTACATAAAGTCAAGTAAATATACAGTCCCTAACTCCAAGCAAAATATTTCCTGTTCTGGTAATAATCAAACCCAGTCATGCTGCATGATCACCATACAAACTGGAGCCATTCATCCTTCTGTGTGACTGCCTTACAGATGATTGTTACCAGCCAGTCAGAAAATGGGCAGGTGCTGCATGTCATTCCTTCTGCCCAGCCAGGAGTGACCCAGGTGATTATTCCTCCAGGTCAGCTTCTGGATGTGACCAGCACACAGGGTGAGTTTAACCTGTGGGACTTGAGGGTTTGTGCTCCTGTGACTAAGCTCATCCTCCGTGCTCTTTTTAAGCACCTTGTTTCCTTTCCTATGTTGTAAGACAGAGTGCACCCTGAACCTGCTTTCTGATTGTGAATCTGGTGCCTCCCACACCACATTTTCTGCTGGGCAAAAGCATAATGAAAGCTTATGAGAGCTGTTATGCCCCCTTTCTCAAGGGTATGTTATGGGTAGATTGACATATCAAGCACAGAGTTGTTTCTTGCCTTATTTACCTTTAATAAGGATATTTGTGCCACCAGCTGTACTATTGGCTTCAAATGTTCAGTATTTGTTTACTTCATTGTGAGTGAAGTACTTAATTCCTGTAATGCAGACAGGCCAGAAGAACATTAAATCTTCTGTTCCAGACATCACTGGTGATGATGCATCTTCTATGAAGCCAAGAATGAATCATTTAGGTAGAAATTCAGTTCCCAGTCAAGGAAAATAAGATGTAACTTTCCATTCATTGGGAAGTGTTAGTTGTCACGTGTCATTGTGTTAGTTGTCACGTTTTAAGCATGTGCTGAGATACACTGGAAGCCAGATTTTCAGGTTTTCTCTAGAAAATGGACATACTGAAATCTGAAAGCATTGATTATTTATCTGCAATCCTTGCTGGATGGCAAAATGCTGTGTACTAGGTTGCATTCACAGAGTGAGACTGAGAACGAGGTGGTCGCATTTTGTTAAACTTTCAGATGTTTTTTAAACTGTTTTTTCCTTCTCTCTATAAAGTTGTCAAGATTGGAGCACTGACTGAGTGTTCGTGTGGAATGATAGCTCAGAGAAAGAGTAGAGTCCTGGTGCTGGGTGAATAGAAGAAAGATTTGGCATTCAAGCAGTGATCTAGCTCTTTTCACTTAGGGTTGCAATATGTTTTCCTGACCTTGCATTGAAAGACTTGTTCCTACCCTAATGCTCAACCTTCCCTCTCTCTCCAGCCCTTTCAGGGGTAGAACCAGGTTTGATTACAGCAGAGTCTTACTCTACTTTAAAGCTGACTGGGAGCCGTTAGTCACAAAATAATTGCTGCTACTCTTTGTAAGCACTAAGTTGAAATACTAAATAGTAATTTTGCATCTCCATTTTAGACAGTTGGGAAGACTTGCCAGCAGTTTACTGTGGAGGTAGAAGAGAAAGGAGAGTGGCCTGTCAGCTCCTGAGTTTCACTTGTTTGCACATGGTGGTAATGCCAGAATGGTGCAGACTTCAGAGTGGCCTGTAGTGTCTTAAGGGCACGTCCCTGCAGGAGGAACCAGTGCTTTGAGCCAGAGTGGTGTTAATCCAAGTGCACACTTAGGAATCTTCTTATGGAGCTTTGTGTGGATCATTTCTGTACTGTGTCAATAGCTTACCACTCTCTCTGGATGAGGGAAAGAAGCTTTCATAACTGAAGGGCAAAAATCCCTCATCTAAAGAGAGACCTCATGTGTTTTTGTTGAGACCAAAATATTGAATGTCTGCTTTCACAGTTTTCCATTATGTTTTTGTTTAACTGTACACACAGGCTTCAATCTAAGAGCAATTTTTGGCTTGTGGATTGCTCCCCATTACCAAGAAAGGCTAAAACATTTGTTCTAACAGCATGTCAGATTCAATTACAAGAGGCCTGTTTTTCTTGTTTAAGTGTTCTTTTCTAAGCACAAAGCAATATCATTACCTCATTTTTTCTTGTTTTAAAAGCAACCGGTATGTGACTTGCAGCTGAACTAAACACTTGTGCAATCCTGTATGAATTCCTGAAAGCAGAGTAATTTGCAAATTGCTCTGATTATTTACCTTCACAATTACCATAGTCCTTAAATATAAGCAGCCTTAGCAAGCGTGTCTTCATATGTGTGCCAGTGTGAGCACTGGAGCACATGGAGTTTGAGCACTGATTCACAACTATTAGACTACTTTATCATCTATAAAATTTCTTTCCTACATCAAAAAAAGGCTTGCTTCAAATACAAAGTTTGATCATAGCTTGTTTTTCCCCATTCTATATTCAGTTATTAATCAGGAAGCTGCTTTTTTTTTTGGTAAAGATATTTCAGAAGAGAAGTGTGGTGATGGGAATCTGCAGACTGTGGTGGTGGCTTCCATAGCAGACAGTGCAAGCAGTTACATTCTACATCCACAGGCATCTCTCACTGTATCAAAAAAAACAACCACCAGGTAGGTCAGGGGTTAAAGGATGAACAATCACTTTGATGCAATGTTAGCACTGCCTGTTTTTCTTGCCGTTTGTTTTTGCAATGGTTATCACAAAATTACCATGGAAAAGAGGTTATGAACACACAGTGTACTGAATGTTTGGAGGACTTGAATGTAGAAACCAGAGGGGTTTTTTAATACTTTTATTCACTGTAAGTTTTTTTTAACAATGAAATAGAATATGAAAATGAAAACCACAGGTTTTTTAAGGCATGTTAAAACAATATCCATAGTTTGATCATATGCTCTAGGGTTATACATAATACACTGATTTGATCTTGCCTGTAGTTTAGATTAAGTTGTTGCTTTTCTGAATGTCTGTATAGACTTCTATTATTTTTTTTTCAGGGCAGTGGAAGATTCTTTTCCCATCCCTCTTCAGCCATTGCCACTAAATACGCCTGCATGGGCACGCCGTCTCAGGAACTGTGAGGTGGGTCACAAAGAATTCTGACAGAATGTTTTATCATCTACCTCTGAGACACTGTTCCTGTTCCTTGAAAGGAATAATTTATTGCTGTAGAGGTGTTCAAGCTTCTTGGTATATAGCACTGGTACTGCTAGCACAGTTAAACACATAAAATGCTATGAAATCCCTTTCTATTTTGAGAATTTTAGAATAACTTACCATCAACTGCTCCTGAATTAAAAGAAGTGGTGCTGAAAACCTGATACCTTGTAGTGCTGGGAAGAGCCATTATGTGCCACATGTTGTTCAGCAGGGTTTGCTGTTGAATGACAGAGCAAACTTTGCTGACTTCTGCAACTGTCCATGTGGTTTGTGTTATCACATGGAAATCAAAATCCATGTGATTGGCCAGTGTCAAGTCTGAGGTGGGAAGTTTCTTGAGAGACCAGCTACCCCTTCCTCCTGCTGCCAGACTCTTCCTGACAGATGTTTATTTTACTTTCTCTTAATACTTTTTAAAAGGAAAGCTTTTAAATACTCCGTAGCTGCGTAATCTCTTTAGATATTTCTCCCATTTTTTTTTTCTATTGGCTTGGCCACTGACAACTAGAAGTTGCAGTTTGAGGGACCTAGAAATTGAATTTCTTTCTGTGTCTGCTTAGAAACAATTTTAAAATTAAATATATTAATCTATTCCTTTTGTATTATGCCATTTATTTAATACAGGTGGTACCGTCCACTCTTATGTCCGCATAAATGTTAAGAAATCAGAAAATTCTTAGCTTGAATTCTTCCATGGTGGAGATACCATTTTTATAGAAACAGTTGCTTAAATCAGTTGGACAGTTAGTTCATAAAATTCACTGTGTGGTAGATTCTTTCCTGTCTTAACATCCATGTGGCTTATCTGAATCATTTATAATTGCTATCATAGTATCAGAGGACTTAGGATCTGCTTTGTCTCTCTATTACAAGAAATTTCACCTACCGTGTTTAAAATTCACAGTGACATTTATAGAAAGGCTCTTCTTTTTAAAGAAAAGCAAATACAAATAGTGTCTATTTGAATATGTTCTGAGGACACAAACATCTCCCTCTGCTGTTCAGCAGAACTATTGCCTGTATGCATTAATCCTCCCTGATCCACCAGAGAGTGCTGGGATGTATTGTGCCTTTTTTTGGGCATAAGCTAGAGACACTGGGATTTTGAGGTGTCAATTCCCTTTCAGGTGTCAAAACGTTTTGTTACTAGTAACAGAATTGAAGGGTCCTGCTGAAATTTGGAGATCTAGTTTGGATACGTCAGCTCACAATTCCACTCTTTGAGTTGTCTGCCAGAATTGAAACAAGCTTAAAGCAGTATTGCAGTCTCTGTGACACACAAGGTGTCAGCAGGGGAAGCCACTGCTCTCCTAAGGCCAGTGACTCCTTGGGCAGTGGGGACTGTGGGCAAACACAGAGCAGTAAAAGCTGGCTGCCTCGAAATGTTCAGCTTACACTTGCTGTGTCTGGACTGCAAAGTGCCTCTGTACCCTTTCCTCAAGGAAAACTGCAGTCTTGATGTGTGTACTCTAGGGTTAGCTTTTATGTACTTTGCTGAGGCAAGGCCAGGGGAGAAAGAAGGAATCACTCAATTTTTTGGCTTGAACCTTGGAGTTAAAGGGCTGAAGAGTATGTGATTGCATCAAGGTAATTACATTGTTGCAGAGTTAATTTAAACAGTTTCTTTTAATAACTTGTATTTAGTTTTCAGTGGTCTGATCAGAATGCATTTCCTGCATGTATCAGCCTACTGAAATAAAATGTAATTAAAACTGCATTAATTAACCATACAATTAAATTTAAAACTACATTAATTAACCACTATTTGTCTGAGGAAGGTACTCTTGTTTGTCCATTTTTTTCCTACTTGTGAAGGCTGTAGAAAGCAGGGATCTTACGTGCTGTATGGTTTTCTTCTTGTCCTCCTCCTCCCCTTCCACCAGTTTAGGGAAAATGATCTAACTTGGGCAAAAGCCAGAATAGGAGATAGTTGTTTAACTGTTTTTGCTACTTTTCTGGCACAACAGTTTTGTCAGTCTTCTCATCTTTCTAGAATAAAGTCAGTGACCTATTTTTAGTGACAGGTATAAGGTATGCATAAAAAAAACCCAGCAGGTTTTGCAGCATTTATTATGTGCAGTGGTGCTGTAATCCCTCCTCTGAAACGCAACATCCCAGACTTCTGGAGAGAAAGAAGTTCTGGTACTTCTCAGGCTGCTTTCCTTCTCCTGAATTTTTCAGATCAAGTTTTGTTCAGAAGTATTATTTATAACTTCCAGTGAAACAATTGCCACCGTCTCTTGCTCCCACAGGCGTGTGAGTGCAGCCTGTGCAGACATGCTCAGCTGCTGCAGCAGTGCCTGCAGAGCAGTGAGCTCTGAGGTGTGAGCACCTTGTGTCCCAGCGACTCCCACGCACTGCACACACAGCCCTCCATGTCTGGTGTCTGCCCTCGCGCCAGCAGCAGCACTGTGCTGGCCCACTTCATTCACAAGGTCGTCGCTGGTTCATTGTTGACTTCAGGTCTTGCTAACCACAGACATTCTGTTTTTCTTAGATGAGTGTGAGGCAGGTTTTAAGCAGCTGTTGCTAAGGAATCTGTTGATAACCTTGGAGAGACACTGTTGCTCTTTTGCTGTCAGTATTATTTAAACATCTAGCTGTTCTGTCAGTGAAGGTGGCAAATCAATCAGACCTTAGTAGTCATTCACCATGTGTTTTTCCTGCTGTTAACACTTTAAGACTGAGCTGGCAAACTACTCTGGCTGTTACAGCTACTTGGCCAGCCTGGCCCTCTGCTGCATATGAAAAGAAGCAAGCGTTGCATTCTGAGTTTGGATGAAAAGTTCTTCTCTGTTCCAGTAATTTTGTTGCTTGTTGGCTGGCCTTGGCATACCAGCACCAAACCAACTGCGATGGAACTGAGTAGCTGGAGTAGGAACTACTGAGTAGCTGGATAACTTCTTTGAGTCAAGTTAGATGCAATTTTTGTGGAGTTGCCCTGACATTAGCAGAGTTAATGAAACCATCCTCGGTTTGCACATGGCAAATCTGGTATAGTAGGTTTCTGTGTAATGCTGAGAAATCAAGAGTGCCTCGAAGGCTGGGAGGGATGTTGTGTAAGACATTCATTTCAGACTTAGTGCACTAAGTAGGTGAGACAGTTACTGGTGGTATGGGCAGGTGCAGTGTGTGTTGCAGTAGATGCAGAGACAATTATTAGTGATTCAGAGCTCTATGGCAGTCAAGTGAAAACCTTAATCTAATACTAATTTGTCTAGTCAGTGACTGCAACAGAAGTATGTGTTGGTGGTAAATTACAGGAGTTAAGTTGTCCTCTGGAAATCAGAGTTGACAGTGACTGTAGCCTTTTTAGGGGCTCTTGGTGTTCTCAGGGTCTTGAATGACTGACAAACTCCTGACCTCAGTGGGGATTGCTCTTCTGTTAGATCCTATGATAAATCTCTTTATGAGGATACTACTGTGGGGACAAAAAACATGGAGTGCCAAAAATCTGGGCCTGTGTTCTCACCTGCCGGAGTCCCCGAGTGCTTTCACGTGTAGGGTTAGCAGTCAGCTGGGTGAATAACGCTGTTGTTTCCCGTCCTTTCCCCGCAGAGAATTGGGGACTCGTACCGCGGCTATTGCGTGAGCGAGGCAGAGCTAGAGAGCGTCCTGGCGCTGCACAAGCAGCAGACTCAGAGCGTGTGGGGCACGCGCCAGTCTCCGAGCCCCGCCAAGCCCGCCACACGCTTGATGTGGAAATCCCAGTATGTCCCATATGATGGGATCCCCTTTGTCAATGCAGGTAACTAACTTTTGTTTTAATAACTACTTGCAAAATTTCAACATCAGCTCCCAGCTGGCCGCAAAGAAGAATCTTTATGTTGTTCCTTAGTTCTGATAAGGTCAAGACACAAACAGAAAAAAAGGAGCAGCTTGCACACTGCTGTGAGAGTCTGAAGGAGGTTGTTTCCTTTTTTATGTTTTGCTGTGATTATTTCCTTTTGTTCTTTAGAGATTAGCTAAGTACCATTTGATGGGAATTCTTGTGATGAGGTCTTTAGAGAGAGGTCTCATTTGCTCTATTAGGACCTGAAAGTTCTTGTAAGGGTAAGAGCTTGTTCGATTATTCTTGCCTAACTTGAAGATCTTTAGAAGAGTTGCATAAGAGTCAATAAACTATTAAAATTGCAAACATTACAGTAATAAATAAATAAATTCAAAATGCCAAACAAACAAGCAAGATAATCATCAACAGACCTCAGCAGAGAGACTTTTAGCATTTGGGGTTCTTTTTGAAATGTTCATGCAGACTTCACAGCTTGGTAGTTACATATTTAGCTCATGTAGTACATATGTGAAATTGCCAAGAGTTTAATTTGGATATAAAATGAATGGGCTTTACTTGCTACATGTAAGAGAGAAAATGAGTGACAGGAATGTAAGTTATGTTTGGGGTTTTTCCTTTTTTTTCCCCTGAAAGTTACTGGAAATAGGAAATGTTAGCACCAGTTTTAAACCTTCAGCCATAAACTGTGAGGTAAAAGAAAACTAAGAAATAAAATCAAAGCTACTTACTCTTTTTTTTCCCCAACATGTGTATGAGACATCTTTAGTTTCATCTAGATCATTTGGTATCTTATGGAAACACATTATGTTGCTTTTATATAATACTTCAGAAGTTTCTGGGTATATCACTTGTGGCATAGGCAGCTCCTTGCTTGCATACTTGAGTACACAAACTATAAATAACATATAACTAAACATGATGTGGAAGAAATTTGGAAGATGTTCCTTTCTTGACCACTTTAATGCTTTGCTTGTCAATCCCTTTTGTTAGAGTTCTGACTGGAAGAAGTCACTTAATTTGAATTTAGAGCAAAGCAGTATTTGTTTGAGCCTGTCTGGTTTTGTATGGGTGTACTGTGCTGAAACTGTTATTTAGCAGTTAAGATTTCTTAACTGCAAGGCTGAGCTTTTATGGGACAGCATGGTCTGAAGTGTTGATTTAAGCCAAGAGGCTGGAAATGTCTGCTGACCTTGTCTCATGGTTTGACCCCAGCTGGAAATCACCACAGAGCTGCTCACGCATTCCCCCAGTGGGATGGGGAGAGAATTGAAAAGGTAAAATTGAGAAAACTCATGAGCTGAGATAGGAACTGTTGTAAAAGGTAAAGGAAAATACACACACACACACAATCAAAGCAAAGTAAGGAATTCATTCACAGCTTCCCATCCCCAGGACAGCATTTGTAACAGTTACTTGGGAAGACAAACACTCTAACTTTGAATGTCCCCCCCTTCCTCCTGCTTCCCTCAGTTCCATATGCTGCACATGATGCCGCATGACATGGAATATGATTTGGTCATTTTGGGTCATCAGCTGTCCCAGCTGTGTCCTGTCCCAGTTTCTTGTGTCCCTCAGCCCCCTCATTGGTGGGGTGGGGTGAGAGGCAGAAAAGACCTTGACTCTGTGTAAGCCCTGCTCTGCAGTAACTAAACACCCCTGTGTTATCAGCACTGCTTCCAGCACAAATCCAAAACACAGCTTCACTCTGGTTACTGGGAAGAAAGTTAACTCTATCCCAGCCAAAACCATCACACCTTTGATTTCCTCTGGGGATTTTCTCTGTTGTTTTGGGGGTTCTGCTTTTTATGTTTATTACCAGTACTGTGCTCCTTTGATAGCTTGCAAGACTTCTGATCTTACAAAGTACTGGTGCTCTCCAGGGCAAAGTCCAATATTTTGCCTCACATATTTGAGGAGTGCTGTGAGGTGTAATAAGTTTGAGAAATGGTTTAAAGTGCTTTGTGTTCTTACATGCTGGGAGAGAAGCATTTGCATTGTGTTTGCTTGGTGTACCTGAGGGTTCTGCCTTCTGAAGAGTCTGATGGCAAACAGAAATGACTGCTTCAGAACTCTCATGTCTTGTGTAGTTAGTATTTTACTGTAATGAATTAAGTGGTTCCTTGAACAGAGCGCATTACTTTCTGTTTCCAGGAAGCAGAGCCATTGTAATGGAGTGCCAATATGGGCCAAGGAGGAAAGGATTTCAGCCCAAAAAAGCTGGTGAGCAGGAAAGCACCTCTAGCCAGCTGTACAAAGCCACTTGTCCAGCAAGGTAAGAATTATATATAAAGCTGTAAGAGTGACTGAGCATCCTAGGAAAGCATTCTTTCTGTGAGCCATGACAGAGCACTGGTTTGGGATGGTAGCTGATACTCACAGCTCTTGTAGCTCTTTTGCTTTATCTCCTTGATAATTTGTGGTCGATACTCTTGTAGAGGTAAGGAGGAAATGCGGTCCTGTCTGACTGAATAAGTCTGAAATTTGATAGGTTCTCTGTATGCAAAGTAGCAATACATCACTCTATGAAATACAAGTGGGATTCATTATCTACCTGAGCATTCACAAGTTATTGTGGTTTCCTTTGGTGACTATTTCTGCTTCTAAAACTTTGTCATCTTATTTGTTGTTTCTTCAGGCTTTTAATTGCACTGATATCAGTCAATCATCCTAATTTAGCACATGTCCTGTGTGCTGAAAGAGTTACAGTTCTTCCTGTTCACTAGGGATTTTCTCGTTCTTCAACACGAATGGTTTTTTTCCTCACCCTTCAGCATTCTCCTGGGTGCTTGTTCAGTGTTCCCTGAGCTAAGAGTGTGCTTGATGATAGTTGCAGCTAGGTCTGTATGTGCTCAATTCTGCATAGCTGGGTGAACTGCAGCCTGTTTCACAATTGGTGTTGTGCTTTTACTATAGTGAGGGACGAGGGCTTTTGCTGAGGAGTAAAATCACTCTGGCTGAGTGGCTTCCAGACCAGAAGTGTGTCTGTCAGCATCCATACCTATTAATGTATCCTTAAGAATTTGAAGTTCTTTTAGAGACTCCTCACACCTGACATCACTCTGCTTGAACTTTTTCTATATTAATGCCTGATATGAAGTAAGTGGGATTTTTGCCTTTCCCTTCCCAAGGACAAAGTATACTGATGGAGAATTTTTTTTATTCCTCCTTGGAAGGATCTATATTAAAAAGGTCCAAAAGTTTCCAGAATACAGGGTTCCTACTGACCCTAAAATTGACAAGAAAATCATAAGAATGGAGCAGGAGAAAGCATTCAACATGCTGAAGAAGAACTTGATAGATGCTGGTGGTGTCCTCAGGTGAAACTTCCACTTTTTCCTTTATTTTCACAAATGAAGCCGAAAAGAGCAGTATTTTACTTGATTTTTTTTTTACTTAGTCACTTGTTAATAGTAAAAAAATCCACAATGTCTTTAAGACTTCTGTGGCAGTGAAGTATTAATTTGGTAAATGTGTTAAGCACTAAGCTAAGGAACTTCAGCAGGTGTTTCCATGCAGGATATTGATAGAAATAGTTGCCTTGTTTTAGGGTTGATCTAGTTTGTTTTGCATTGAAAGGTATGAAAAGGCCCCAAGTTCTGAAAGACATCTTCTTGCTCAGGGGCTGTAAAAACTTGTCACACTGACTAGTTTGTTGGTAGTCCTCAGACTGTTCCCCCAAGACACTAATTTATTGCCTTTGTTTGAGAATTGTGTGTATAACCTCTCTCCTTCTTGCTAGGTGGTATGTACAGTTACCTACTCAGCAAGCCCACCAATATCATGAGATGGAAACTTCCTGCCTCCCTCCTTCACCATCCCATCTTTCCATGTCTTCTCCTGAGGAGGAGGAGGAGGTCATTAGGGATGAGAACAGTACTCTGCCTTCTCGACTTCATCCTCAAGTGGCAGACAAGATCCGAGAGCTGGTGTCTCAGGGAGTGGAGCAGGTCTATGCAGTGAGGAAGCAGCTGAGGTACAGAACTGTCTGCAGTGCTCAGTCCATAGTGCTATATCTACTTCTGTAATTGATTCATTTGCTTTGCAGCTAAAGAGCAATGCTGGTGTGTTACTGAATCTAATTCCCAGATATCATAAGTCTGTTTTTCCCTACTTTTGATATCTTTTCATATCATTGTAGATAGCCTCCTGTAAGAGCTGCTGTACTCTAAAGTTACTTGAATAAATGCTCAGAGCACACACAAGGGAGAACAAGGGAGGGACAAGGGACAGCAGTCAGTGGAGGTGCCTGAGCACTTCCCTGGGCACCCTTGAGTGCTGCAGTGAGCAGCAAAATCCAAGGGACATGAAGGATGCCCTGAGCTATGGGCAGAGCTGCATCATCAGCTCTGGATATTCACACACAACAGTGGAGTAATTTATGCCAAGGCAGGGGAGAATTACATCTCTCTCACCTAAGGAAATACCTTTGCTTCAGCCTAAAACTCAGTAAATTTCTCACTAGAGACCACCTTCCCCTCTCCAGGGGGAATCTGCTCACTCTGACTTTTCCACAGCTTTTTCTCATTCCTCAGGAGTATCTAGCATTTATGAAGGCCTCAGGAAGACAACAACATGCAATTACATGGAGTATAAACATCTGAGTAACCAAAGGGAAAAAAAATGGGGGTTTTAAATTCCAAATTCTGTAGCCAATGCACAAAGAACTGTCTCAGTAGATCATCTAGCTTGCTTTTGTCTTGTCATTGCAACAATGGGAGGGAGAAGGTAACAGGGTCTCTTAACAGCAGGAAATAGTGGAATATATTTAAGTATGGTAATAAATGTCCTTTAACATATGACAGAAAGTATGTGGAAAGAGAATTGTTCACACCTGATGAAGTGCCAGAAAGACATAACCTGTCCTTCTTCCCCACTGTGAATGACATCAAGAACCACATTCATGAAGTGCAGAAGTCCCTAAGGAATGGAGAGATGGTGTATAATTCAGAAAGTATCCCAGCAACAGTATGTTGACCTTTGTGTATCTTTTTTATTTTTGGAGTTAAATACTGGAAATCTTAATTTTTACCACTTAGCTGTATTTCATCCAAAATTTTCTGTGACTTTATATTTCCAGCAGAAATATTTTAGTGGAATTTGTGGCTGAGTAAGACTGGATTAAATGTGAATAAAATCTTCTGACCTTATTTAGTATTTATCTTATCAGCAGTAGATTCCTGTTAGTTGGTTGACAAATGACACTATATTAGTACTTCTTGATGACTGCGTGAACTGGAAGCCATTGGTGTAGAAAAATTGACACGTGGCATACAATTTCATTCATGGCTTTGTCACTGCCTATGTTTTGAAGTAGTTACTACTACTTTTCAGTAGCTGAAATAGTGAGGGTGAAGTGTGTCTCAGATGCTGTCTAAATTAGGACTTAATAAACATTTTGAATGTGTTAATAGTAATAAATGCACTTTATAGTAAGTGCAGTGAGGTTGGAGTTGCATCTTCTGAATGCTCAGTAACTGTTAAACCTTGTTCCTTAATTTTCTTCCATGTATTGAGTATTAAAGAGTACACAGTGATCCTAACTTTCCCAGTTATGAGACTAACTGCTAAGAAATGGCTGATTTAAAATCAGCTTTGACAAACAGCACTGTTAAATCATGCTGTGTCATCAGTCTTTTCCCTCTCCCTACACTGGTGTAGCCCAGGTGAATGAGTGTACTTGTTAGATAGCCAAATGGTTTCACTATTTTATATTTTAAAATCTGTTAAACTCTTAAGAGCAGATAAAGCAGATAATCTTCCTGATACACACTACGTGTTTAAAAATCTTTTACAGTACTTTTTTTTTTTGTGAATCTAGAGGTCCTAAAATGCCTAATTATAAAGAAGTAAGAAAATGTAGTTTTAGACACTGTTTTCTTATCAGTCCTGTATTGAGCCTGTGTTCCTGTAGACAAGCTTGCACCCTTTCTGAGAACTGAGTTCTTTTTCCTTTCAGCTGCAATGGAGCACAGACAGTGGGAACGTCCTCACAGAAACAGTGACGGTCGCGTTTGCCTCAGCGCCTTCCGATGGTAGGACTGCACGTGTAACCTGTGTCTCCAAATGTCTTTATTAGCTGTGTCACCCAAGTTCATTTTCCTTCCCAGGAGGTTGCTGTCATGTCCTGTCACTCAGGTCAACTTAAGAAGGATTATTTTGCCATAACTTTTTTGGTTTACTTTTTTTTTTATTTGACTGCATGTGTGGAAAAATAGGCGTAGTCATGATGGTGTTGGCAGAAGTATTAAAATTATAAATTTGGCTTTTATTTAGCATCTTCAAGCAAACAAAAAATTTAGTGAACTTTTATATGAACTGTATACATATTTGTTTTCACTTCAACATATATGTATGTACACAAATATGTTTTAATATACATATTTGTTTTAATTTCAACTTGTGCCAAGTGGAGACAACTGTACATTTAAGAAATCAGGCAGTAACAGAACTTGTTTGTGCAGAACTCCCTATCTCCATGTGATACAATTTTCTTTGTAGCATGTAGAGATTTGAACTATTACCTTTTTTCCCAGGGGTGTCACTGTAGAATACAACCCAGGGAGAGAACTATCTCTTCCTGCATGTGAACATTCACGTATACATATGGGATCTCTGTATAATATTCAGAATAGTCTAAATATTTGAAGTACTTGTGTTCAAGAAGATTTATAGGTTTGTATGTGTCTTCTGGTCAGTTGTGATAGTTAAGAGAGTGCAGATCATTATATATGTTGAAAAACCTACCTCCACTCAGATTGCTGGAAATTTTTCCTGTGATTTTCTGATAGAAAATCTTTTGCAACTGATAATTTTCAAATTTTGGCATTCACCAGACTAATCTGCGTTCACAGGGCAAGTTCCTCTATTACCTCCATAACAGTGGAACTAAGAAATAAGAAGCCGAGCACTGTCTGCCTGTGTCTGCATAAAGCTTAACCAAAATGTTCTGGGTGGCTCAAATAGGAATGATCTCATGAGAAGTTTTCTTGCAGAAATTGTTATAAGCAAATCTCAGTTTTTGCAAAACTTCAGGAAATTAGGTGCATCGCTGTTGCATTAAATAAGAATTTTGAGGATATTATATAATCTGTAGGCTGAAAGACCTCCAGATAAATGGACTTTAGATGATATTGCATAGAAGTTAATGCTGATTTCACAAAGATGGGAAGGGAGTGGTGAGACATTGAAAATTTCCTGTATAGGTCTTTATTTTGAAAGACAACGCTTTCTTTTGATACCTGTGTGTTTCTAAGCCCTTACTCAGGTATAGTTATCGTCAAATTATTTGCTGCTGTGCTAGAAATGTTTGAGCTTTTATGTTATGACTACAAATTCAAAGCACAGTGTAGGGTGCAATTACTTTGCTCTCAAGGACAGATTTATTGGTGCCTCTGGTTTTTGCTTTGTACAGATACATACAAATTTCCTGCATTATTGTCTTTTTGTCATACTCAGTCTTCTTTCTTTAGCAACCAAGCTCTGCAAAGGGAACAGCATATGTGTATGGATATGTATGTCTTCTGTATATCTGTATTGAGATTGAAGGGAATTTGGTTCACAGTGGAGGCTTTTATTAAACAGGAAGAAGAGATTTGTCATAACTGTCTGCTTCCTCACTTTGGCACCACAGGGAGCTCAGGAGTCGAGTCAGTCATCACCAAAGCAGAATCCAACCAGAGCGGGGAGTCCTTGGTACCAGAAACAGCTCAGCTGCTGTCTTCACTCTCCTCACTTCAGCCCAAGATATTTGCACAGCTTCAGGTACAGTCAGGTCATGTACAGAACATCAAACATGCTGTGCTGGAGGCAAGCTAGAACAGCATGTTCGCTCTCAGCAGATCCCAAACATAGCTGGGTAACACGCACTTGGAAGTAGCTGTCAGCTCTTACTCTGGTTACTCTTGCATGTCACATTTACCAGGTAGCTGTGGTGCAGGGGATCCCACTACCATCTCTTGGCACTTTGAAGTTAGGGTCTCCTGTGAAGGCAAAACCAAGAGGATAAAAGCAGTGGGTTTCTACCTCAAACCAAGTTCATTTTCCACGGTCCAGTCATTTCATAATGAAAATGCTGCAAAACTGAAGGGAGATAAGACAATCTTGTTTATTCCTTTTAAATCCTTCTCCAGCTCTTAAGAAAATATCTTAAAATCCTGAAACTGCTGCTAGCTCAGAGCTGTAAACATGCAGGTTGAAAGGCTGGAGAGGGAGGGAAAAGAATGTCATGCTAAAAGAGCTTCTTTTAAAGCTCATCTCCCTTCAAAGCTGGCTCTCTTATCCCTCTTCCTTAACTACTTTGAAAATCTGCCTTCATATCTCCTGAACCCCAACAAAATGCAGTATTTTTTCCCTAGAAAAATGATCTGTAGTAAGATTCTGTTCTACTTGCTGTTTCTTCTCTTTCTGAGGACAGCCTGACTCCATCTCACATCATTTTATTTAAAGCAGTATGCTTAGCTTGTAGTACCCACCTCTTGTGGGAATGGACAGTACTGGGGAATGATCTGAAACTGAACATCAATCCAAAATTAGAACTTTATGGTCAGAAGCAATTTTCTAAATGGTGCTGGATTCCATTGTCCTAATTGTTTTCAAGTACATTTTGAGCCTAGAGTTGCTGGGATTGAGTGTTCAGAAGAGTTAATGAGTAGGAGGAAGTCAGAAGCCACCTAGACAATACATGCTGTTAAATGCAAACTCCTTCTGTTGTAACTACTGCTAGGTTGGTACTTCTGCCTTCTCTTCCACAGGGATTACAGCTGCAGTCAGCATTTACCTCGACAAACGGATCAACAGCCCTGCTAGCTGTAAATAACCATTCCCCTCCCAGCCCTGCAGGTCTCCTGGATTCCCTGGGGGGTGCAGTAGGCAGCCATTCTCTAGCACTGGCTCAGGGGCACACTCTGCAAGGTGCTGGCCTGACACAAGACTGTGCTGCTGTGCCTGCTTTTGGGGCTCTGCCTGCCTCTGATCAGAGTCTGCTTGCCATGGGCCAGCTGGTGCCAGCTGAAGGGGTGGATGACTCCAGAAGCCTGGAAGGAGGAGTGCAGCAGATTCTCTTGGGAGATGCGCAGACTATCCCAGTACGGATTGTGGACAGCCAGCCAGCACTTAGTAAGTTGTAGTTTTCTCAATAATATGTCAATAATAGAATAGAGAAAATACAGTGGATTTTGTTCTGCGTGTCTTGAAGAAAGGAGACAAATGTGTTGATAGTGGGGAACTCCAAGAGAGACTTCTTTCAGACAATTCTAACTAGTTTTTTTATTTTTCTGTGGGAAAGGGGAAAGATGTTTTTTGTGAAAGGGATTTTATATCTCCAAACATTTAAATTTTTTTTATAAATTGGTTTAAATATTGTTACTTGAGGGGAGCCTTACTGGAGCAAGTTCATGTCATCTTGCAATGCTTTAGAGCACAGTAGGTGACATAACTGGCTATCAAGCTAAAAAGCAGTAAACTTCATATATGCCTTAACTATTAGCTTGAGTTCCTGAAATATTTTTCCTTTAAATGCACAGTTACTGGGGCTAAAGCGTTGTCAATGGAGTTAAAACTTCAGTGTTTGATTTTTGTTTTGTTTTTAAGCTGAAGAAAATACAGAGGGTGTTGTTACTTGTGTGAGCCAAGTTAAACAAGAACCAAGAGAGAAAGCATTGTCTGTGGAAACAGATAAAATCAGAGACTGCCACAGTTCTTCACCATAGTTCTTCACCTTCACCCGTGAAGCCTGGAAGGATTTTCAAATTGGAGAACTCTAAATGTCTTGGAAGGAAAGGCAGGTGCTCTCAAAGTACTGCCATTCTTTTTTAATTTCTATGTGACTTTCAGAATAAGCATATTTTAGAGTACTTCTGACAGAAAGCTGTTTTGCTTGGACTGATGAGGCTCACTGCCAACTCCAGGTCATTCCGTTGCCCCATGGAACACCACCTCTCTCTTCTGTTTCAAGTTTTGAGTAATTTGAATTCTATCCAAATGGCCATTTTGTTCATTGTTTCTGAAGGTCTTCCACAATTTAATTCCTTAGCTTTAGAATGTGGATCACAATGCTGGGTTCACATTTTCTGCTTGAAACCCTTGACTTTTATTGTACTACAGAGACCATAGAATCTGTCAGCTCCAAGATCACAGAATCCAACAGCAAAGTGGATCAGTATGGTAATGGTTTTGTGACAAAAGGAAGGTCCAGGATGCTAAACTTCAAAGTGATAAAGGACATGGATGCTTAAGAAAATGCAACTTTGACCTGATCATAATGTTAATGGTGTGAAGATCAAGGAGAGGAGAAAGGTGAGGTTTCCAGGTGAACATAAGGTTGTATGATAAAGAAAAGTGTGTGAATTGTAACAGTGAATGTTTTTGACTTGACACCTTTGAACTTAAGTTCTGGCTTTATAATGAGGTTCATTGATGCATGCAGCCTTCCTTTGCAGCGGTACTGTAATTGCAGTTGGTCATAACAACTAAATGTAGGAGTCTTTCTCATGGAAAATGATTGATGCTGCCATTTCAGCTTATCTACCTCTTTCTTTGTGCACTTGAAGCTATCAGCTCAGACAAATGTGATTTAAGCTGCTGTTGTTTGGTATGTAGGGCTTGTGGATACATTCCTAACAAAGAGAAGCCCAAGCAAACAAAGGAAGCAATCAAAGCACTATGTCCAAGTATGCTGTCACCACAACATTCTGAAAATAAACTAATCTTTTTCAAAGGTGACATATTCTAAGACTTATGTGGTCTGTACAATTCAAATAATTACCAGGAATCTTTAGAAAATAAAATGTGATAAAAATTAAAGTTTAGTAATATTTGAGGTAAAGCCATAGTAAGTGACAAGCACTGAGCTGTGTAATGTAACAGACATTTAGAAAAAAAAAATCACACCTACAAATAACTTGGAATCAATTTAAAGCTGTAAATGAAGTAAAAATGATAACAACATAGACATCAAGTTAAGCAATTGCATTGTTTGCTTCAGATGTTGAATTCCTAGAGCAGCATTCAGAGTAGTTTCTATACAGCAATAGGAGCCTTTTTGTTATTAGTTCCTGCTAACTAGTTGAGAGCTTGATCATAAAATAGGGGGCTTTTTCTGCATGCTGTGGAAGAATCCAGTGTGAGGATTCTCTCTTTTTCAGACTTGAAAACAAGCAAACAAATAACCCCAGGGAAATTTATTAGTTCATTTATGTGGAGAAGAAAGCGTTGTGAGTATTATATGAACCAAAATATTAACATTTTAAAATTGTTACTTTACCTTGCATTCAAGCATTCACAAACATCTTCTAAACAGTGGCGATTTAAAATTATTTTTTCATTTTATTTAAAGCTTAAACTTTCAAAAGCCTTACATTGAACTTGAGTTCCAAATGCTTTTATATGCAAAATCTGTTAGGTGCTGTATCTCAGTCTTAACATATATCAACTTCTCTGAGGCTAACTAACATTATAAATATTATTTGTTTAAAGCTAATGTTTCTGGGTTAGGTCCCATTAGAATTTTCCAACAGGATTATGTTCTTATTAAACAAGAGCCAGTATTATCAGGCAAGTGCATTAAAAAAAAATCTCCATTTTTTCGGAGCCTCTAATATTTAGTATCTACACTGACTTGTTTTATGGTATGCTTTACTCATTCCTAGGTAGGAAAAATCCCACAAGATTCACCTGTGGCACTTATTTATTTGGTTGGTGTTTTTAATCTTGCCTTATTTGTTTGTTGGTGGTTTTTTTGGTAGGTCGATTTGCTAATTGCCAAAATATCTCCCAGATGGAAGTTGTCTGCTGCAGTGTTGTTTGTGGAGCACTCACTCTGCAGTCCCCTTCTCTTTTCCAGCTCAAAAACTGCATACCAGAATGGGTACCTCCTTCTGTGCTGCTGTGTTCAATAATTCCATTGTGGCCAGCTTTTCTTAAAGTTTAAACTATTGCATTCCAACCTATATTCTCTTTCCCTATATTGCTCTTTTTTTGAGAATTTTTCCTCATTGTTGAGAATCCTTCTTTTCAAAAGAAGAAAATTACAGCTAAAGATTACCAGCAAGAGGTTATTTCCATTTTAGTTCTCTTCTAAGCAGACAATACATTTGTGATTGGAGTAAAAGCTTAAGGAAAGTCAAGTTATATTTCCATCAGTTTTTGCTTAGTTCCCTCATTAACAGTTCTGGTTTGTGCAGTTCTTTCCACCATGAGCTACAGTTTCCTCCTGTGCTGCACAGTATTTCTGGTGGTATTTATGGTTTTGACCTAGTGCTCACAACTGGAGAAAACCATCTTGAATTGCAGGTTGTGAAATTAATTTCGTATTCTATCCTGATTTGCATAGTCCTCTGAAAACAATAGAAGAAAAAGTTGCAAGAATTTTAAAGAAGCAATAAAGAATTAGTTGTTTTTAAAAGCTGGGGATCAGACTTGCAATTCTGTTATTCTGTTTATTGGAAAATTTATTTTAAATGATTCTTGAGTCAATACTCACATTTTTGTTTTCAGTTTTCTTAATTTTTACAGAATTTCAGTTCTTTGTCTTCCAGATACATATTTCAGTTAGTTAGTGTGTCATTTATTTTAATTTAATGTAATAATTCTTTTTCAAAGTGTGTTTTACATTTGTTTTGTGCGTGTTGCTGAAGGAAGAATATGAACTCACCCCCATGTCCAGTCTCTCTTTGATTTAATGTATTTTTTCACTAATATCCACCTGTATTTTACAGAGAAGACTGTTATGTATGTGAAAAAAATCAGAAGTAAATGGTGCCACGTGTAATCGTTAAAGTTGTTTAAATAGAATACTCAAGGCTGATTTTTCAGAGTAATCTATGTAGCTTGATGCAGAGTACTTGGTTATTACTTTGTGTTGGAATTGCAGATGTTTACTTTTTCTTGTGGTTGTTGTATGCAAGCACTTATTTTGAAAATCTAGAATTCCTGACCTTCAACAGTACTGTAAATGAACAACTGATTCTCCAGTTATCCTTGGTTATCTTATCCTATCCAGTTATTGTTGTTGGTTGTCTGTAAGAATGATTAGTTGCTTTAGAAGAAGAGATGTGCTTCTGTATGTGCATGCAAAGATAACCTTTTGGTAAAATGTAGAGAAGGTGTAAAAAGGTACATATCTATAGCTCTCATTCAAGACTGGAGCCCTCTTGGATGGAAACTAATACTGGTAATGAGTGCTTTTTTGTGGTACAAAATTATTGCAGTTTCTACAAAATTTAGAGGCACAAATATCTGTGCATGTATGTGTATGTATATTTTTTTTCTATAGTAACTTAATGTAAAATATTCCTATTCAAATGTAAACTACTTGTTCTTTTCAAGTACTGGTCTATTTTGTGGCTGTGGGGACTCATGGGGAGAAATGCAAGAGCTCTGTCAGGGCAGTGGATTTTAAGGATGATGGAGAACAAGACAGCTTCAGGTGGAAGAACTACTTCAGGTGGAAGAAATTGCTGAAAAGCAAGGCTCCTGCTGGGAGGGCAGATGGGGGCTGTGCCTGGGGGGTTTTGGGGTTGAGAGCCCAAGGGCTCAATGCAGTTCCTGAGTCTATCCAGTCCTCTCTATGCCAGTAGTGGATAGTGTGAGTTCATGGTAGGAATTTAAAGGTATGAAGAGAAGGGAAGCCTGCCCTGCCCTTAAAAACAGAAAAGCTGCTTCAGTTTTGGTGAGCACCAGAGGCAGATAAATGACTCCCCATAGTCTGAGGTGCCCATTCTTAGCTTCTGATATAAAGAAGAAACTCCTCTTGGAGCTTCAGCCCAGGGCTGTAGACTCTTTTTCTTTACCTGTTACCAAGGAAAACAAACCTTTTCTTTCCAACTGAATTAACCTGCTGCTTTTCTCATCCCACTGACTGCAGCTCAGTATCTGCCCAAATGTCTCTTTCTTCAGATTTATTAAGGCTTCCACAGAAATCCCATGCCCTCAGGCCCTCCAATTCTCAGTGTTTCACTGTTGGACTGTTGAAGGAGCTGCTGAGTTCACTGCGCAGGTAAACTGGTGAGCTTTGCCCCATCAGTTTTTCTCCCTCTTTCTCCACAATCATAAGTACATATATTCCTTTAAATTGCATTAAGGTTTTTTATTTGCCTGCTTAGGGGTTTATCATTGTTACTGGGATGAGTATGAAGGAGCCCTATTTTACAGACCATTTACATTCACAGCAACTGAGAAGATTTGATAAAACAAGGAGGAAAGGATGGTTTCTGCCAGCTGTTAGGGCTGACCTCTTTCATACCACTTGAATTCCTGATTCTGGCTGTGGGTAGTAGATGCCTGTTAAGTTGTCTGTCTGTTGGCAAAAGTGCAATTTTCTCCCTTAAGCCTATTCAAGCAGATAGGTTCTCAGATGTTTAGGTAGGAAGATTCTGTTCCATTAGGGATAGAAAGTGTGATACAGCTGAGGATGGTGGGGAAAGTTACTGCTCTTTATAGGTCTCTGATGAGAAAATCATCTTTGATCTGCCTTGCCTTTCTGAACAAAGCTCTTGTAGGAATAGACTTCAGAGCCTATCCCATCAGTAACAATTATCTTCTCCCCAAAACAATGCACCTCATTAATGAATGAAACAAGTCTTGTGTAAAAGAGGTGATGTTAATTTTTTAGGTAAGAAGCTATCCAGCTGGCCTATCCAAAAACAGCAGCTAAGGCATGATCTGGGGGGAAAAGGAGAGAAGAGCAAATAAACAGGAGTGTGTGTGCATATGTTGTTTTTTTTCCAATGTAAGCTCTTACATCTTAGTATCCCATTCCATTTCTGATGCATATGACAAATGAAATGTTTATTTTCTGAAGGGATTTGAAGTGTTTTCTGAAGAGTCTTCAAAGGAGTGATCATAAATAGTATTGCTGTATCATACAAACTACTGGTACATGTTTGTCAACTAGGACCCCATCCTGTTCTTGTACAGAAGGGGTTTTAAAAGCATGGAAAGCTTTACATGTAGTGTCCTTGTCTTAAGGAGTCTTCCTTGGACAGGAAAATAGGAGCTATGGGAGTAATTCTCATCAGTAGTCTTTAGCCTCTGATAGATAGAAGACACCTTGCCAAAAGCATGTATATGATAGTCCCTCACAAAAGTTACCTTTGGATACTTTGTAGTTTTAAAATGCATATGCATACATATATAGATGTATATACCTCAAAATAAAATGGAGATATGACTATAGCTGTTTGCACATAGTTCTTTAATACTATTTTAATTACACTTATCTGTGGTTAAATGATGCAGATATTTTAGGGCACATGTAGTCAGATCTTTTAATGTGGGTAATTGGAATTCATGTTTTTACTACAACCATCCTTCACTCTCTGCAGCGTGGCTCAGTTGGTCATTTGGCATGTACTGGCTTCTGTTAATGGCATTCTGCCTGTTTAAACAAGAGCATGCTGTTCTGAGCAAATTAAATTTCTCACTCCTCCTGATCCTTTTTCTAACAGGGATTGATATGGCTCATCATGAAAATCTGTTTGTAGTATAGTGCTTTCACAAGAGTTGATTTCTGGGTCCTCACTAGGAAGGAACTAGAGGGCAAAAGCTTACATACTATTGGATCTGCCATTTGGACATTTGTCTAATTTGTCTGGATTTCTATAGCAGGACAGTGTCAATACAGCATAAACTGCCACTAAAATACTGTAAACATTCAGCTCTCTCCCTTGGTCAAGTGTTGACAGTTCAGTGGCTCCAGGAAAGATCATAGGAATATTTCTGCTCTTTGGAGAACAGTTTCTGTTCTGTAGATACTATTTAGAACATAATTGGGTGTGGCAATCAAATGGCAGTAGGAGAGCCAGAAACAGGTGTGTGTTGGCAGATCAGTGAGAGAGGGAGCTCAGTGCCAGTGTCCTTGTGCTAGACTGACATTGTCTGTGCTAGTCCTGAAAGCAGCCTTGACAAGCAGTGATTGTGCTGACACTTGTCTCTTAGCTGTTCTTTCTGCTTGCCCACTCAAGAAGTTCTACAAGCCTTCAAGGAACATGGAGAGCATGAAAGTGTGTAAGATCTTGTGAGAGGACCTGCAGGAATGAAACAGAGGAGAATAAAATTTGATGACATGACTTCTATGTAATGCACTTTCTTTGGTGGGAGGAAGAGAATTTTCCAATAGAGAATAAAAGTAAATCTTCCTTTTCAGAATATTAGTATTATTGCTGACTCTCTGGTCTACTCAACAAAATGCCTAGTGTTTTGACAGATCTCAATGTTTTTATGAGTGTGTCCTAAAATGTTAATGAATACTCATTCATACATTGCCATCTTTGCATGTCATACTGAAACTGTAGGCCAGTGGCATCTCCTTGATCTCTTTACTGTCTCTGTGCATTTTATTAAAGTAAATAAAAGCATTTTTATAAAGAAACAGCAGAGAGCTTTTATCCAGAGTCTTTCAGATACACAGTTTTTACAGAGTAAGATTTAACTTAATAATGTTGTATATTTCTAACCCTTTAATAACCTAAAATAACCAAAGCCTTTTCACTTTCTTTTTCTTTTGATCCAGAACATGAAGCATTCCAAACTACCCCTCAAAACCACCATGCTTAGAGCCTGAAAGGTTTGGCACTTTTCTTCCTCTGTAGGTGATCTTCCATCTGTGCTGTGTTCAGTGTCTTGCATCTAACACCAGAATCCATAGTTAACACCTGTCCCATCACGTGAGGGCACTTTTTCATTTGCATGATCTACCTGGTCACTTGACAGCATGCCAGTAACAATTTCTGCACACCACCTTTTGTTGATTAACATCTGTCACATCAGTTCTAGATGGGGCAAATTTTCTTTGTGCATGGAATTTGCATTGGTTTAGTGATACCAGTGGTGTCAAAAATAGTAAAGTCTCATGAACTGAGAGCCTTTTGTTGTGAGTTTGATCTTAATCTGAGCTCTGTCTGAGCTAGGGACAAATTCTGAGGCCATGCCCCTGTTCTGCAGTGCTTGTTGAGTGGAAGATAAATCTTCCAGCTCCCAAGAACAGCTGCATCTGTGTTTCTGCCTGATACAAAGCTGCTGATATTAATCTCCTGAAGGATGGCTCATGGAATTCTGCTTTCCAGCTTAAGGGAAGATAAAGTCTCTGTGTATGAAAACTTGGTGGAAAATGTAGAGACAGTTGGGAGTGCCTAGAACAGTCACCCTCAAGTGTCCTTAATTTAGGAATAGGAGCTGGTAGAAGGAATAAGCAACTGAAGAATATAATGGAAAGTAGGCATTCCTGCTCTTTACATAGCATTGCCCTTACACAATACTTTTTCTTAATAATGTTCCTTGACAAACACTAGTCAGCAGTGAGAAGAAAACAAATCTCAATTTCTCCCCACAGCCAGCTTACAGTTTAACAGTGCTTCTGCAAATTAATCACAAGTTGGGCCTAAAAATCTATCATAGATCTAAGTTCAGTTTTGCCTTTTCAGGTCACTGTTAAGTTACATAAATATAACTTTTTTGCAGGGCTGTTTCTTTTAAAGCTAAAATTAAATGTGAGAGAGAACTGGAAATTTTGTTTCTAACAGAGGACACTTCAGTTGTCAGAAGTGTGCAGGTGTTGCCCCCTTCTCTTCCACTTTTATCTCTTGGTTCATTTGCTGTTTTCTCAGGATCCCTTACCTCTGAGAGTACTCCAAATAACTGTCAAGAGACCAGAGCAGAGAACAGAAGAGGAAGACAAGTTTGCGAAAAACTGCTTGCAGGAGATAGAAAGCTCTCAAAGTTACAGCTGAAGATGGCAATTTCTTATTGCTGAAATGGCTCACTTTAGATGGTAAATGTTTTTTTAATACACTGCTTTTTAATTGTTGATTTTGTTACTATTTATGCTCTGAGCTCACATCTAATAAAAGCTAGAATGTTAATTGTGTGTTTTGCTTTTATCTTCAGTGTGCTGGTTATCTTCTGAATGCAAACTGGTCTGATAACTCCGTGGTCTTGGCTGTTGACAAAGCTGTTATCACATCTGAGCTGTTCTGTATGTGGAAGGAGATGGAGGAAGTGGGAACCTTCTTCACCTGACTTCTGCTGAGAACAGATGATCTGTGGAAAGAGGCCTTTACTGGTTTAAAATCAATATCCTCACAATAATTTCTTGGCTGCACAGGTTTTTCATGTCAGGTGCTAGTGCATCTCTAACTTTGCACATAATACAAGCCATAAAATTACCTCTCACTGGCCTAGCCATATTTTTTGTTGTCTCCTACCACTGTACTCATTGCTTTTTGGGAGTGGGGAAATAGTTTTAACATGTTCTGATTTTTGACTTTTCTGCCTTTCTCCTGTTGCCTCTTTCTCATACTCAGAGCAGCACAGAAACAAATTTATCATTTTAGAAAATTTCTCTGTCCTCAGTTTTGTTTGGGGGTTTTGTTTGAAAAGTAAGCTATCATTGCATTTTGCTTAAGGAGTGGGAAATACTGGGGTGAGCTCCACTGCCCCTTCACTCCAGAAGTCCTCAGAGGAAGCACCTGCCACAGGTTCTGCTCCTGCACCTGTATTTCCACACAGGCCAGCACAAATACACAGCTGTGTTGGTGACAGCAGTGTCTTGCACTTGGTGCACCAGCACCTTATCAGAACAAAGTTATTGCTGTGAGCCCAGCTCAGTGTGTGGGTCTGCCCCACTGTGTCCCACAAATGACTGTTTGGGCACAGCTTGAAAGAGAGCACAGGAGATGGCCAGGAAGTTCTTAATGTTCAACTTTGAGTTTGTGCTTCTGTGTTGAGTTCAGGTGCCCTGGTGTGGGTGGCCCTGTGCAGGACACAGCTGGTTCCTGGCAGCTCTGCAATGGACACAGGACACAGCTGAGCATATCAGTGAAACTGGGCCACCTCTGGGGAGGGGTCTGCAAGAAAGGGAAAATGCTGCATGGCAGAGAGGAGTGAGGAAGAAGGTGAAACAGCTCTCTCAGCACCAAGGTCAGAGAAGAAGGAGAGGGAGGAATTGCTTCAGGTGCCAGAGCAGGTGTGTTCCCTGCAGACCACAGTGGATCACATGCCAGAGCAGGTGCAGATTTTTCTGAAGGAACTGCAGAGGAGCCATGCCAGAACAGGCTTCTGCTGAAGGACTGCAGCCTGTGGAGAGGACCATGTTGGAGCAACAGAAAGGAGCTGTTACAGACTGCAATGCCCATATTTCTCTTTGCCTTGTGCTGCCTTGGATGAGGGGAGACAGAGAAGCTGGGGCTCAAAGTTGAGTCTAAGGAAAGAGGGCAATGGGAAGGGAATGTGCTGTTTGAATTTGCTTTTGTTTCTCAGTGCTTTAATCCATTTTAATTGGCAATAAATTATATTAGCTTTCCTCATATTGATTCAAATATTGAAATTTACATCTGGGCACAAGTCATGGTGGAAAATCCTGATGTCTGTTTGATCACTGCAAGTCACTATTGCCTTTCATTTTTTATTTTTAAGAATTAATTTTGTGTGAAGGAAGTAGTGTACCGTGTCTGAATCAGGAATTCCATTTCTGGACGTATTCTGGTTAGGCCTTTCAAGTCCAGCATACTCACTTCACTGGAGTAGATCTCAGGTGGAGAATTAACTCAGGAACATGTCTAATCCCTTACATTTCAGCTGGAAAACAATACCAGACATATTTTTACAGGTTTGAGCATGGGAGAGTCATTCTGAGGAGAGGATGCTGCAGCAGTAGATTCTACTTTATATACTTTGGTAAAGCTGTTCTTACAGGTGCTAACGGTGTGGCATCTCCCCAGTCTTGTGTCTAGCAGTGCTTCAGAATGGGGCAAAGTTTGTGATGAGTGGCATCTTTGGTGAAAGTGCTGTTAACTTTGGGAAAAGAAATAAGCAGAGTTTGGCAATGAGATTTATATTCTTGTGCTTTCCAGAGGTAATTTTCCTGATTAAGAAGGGAACTTCCTTTAGAGGGTAAGTTTTATATGTAAGTTCTTACACCACCTTTGGAAAATACCTGGCACTGGACACCAAGGGTACCTAGTCAGGGTACTATGATGCACTTACTGCTTTATAATGGGGGCAATGGAATATAAAATTGATGGATAGCTTCCTAACATTAGCTAAATTAATCTTTTCATCTTCTCTCTTCACATTTCTCTATAAAGGGAAGAGTCTCTGTTACAAGGAACATGGTGAATTGTTAGTTGTCCATAAAACTGTTTATGAACAGTTGGATGAAAAAGACTTCTTTGATAATGAATTAGATGAGCTTCAGAAAGAATTGTACTTTCACTGTAACTTCAAGTATTTTCTTCCAATTGTATCACTGATTATTGATTATTGTCTTACTGTTTATTTGTGTATAATTTATTCGTTAAGCTTTTCTGGCCCTGTCAGGGCCATAGAAGTAATACATATGGCAATTCTCTTTTCTTTTTAAGTTTTATAGAAGGGAAAGGAATTATTCATTTTTTATTTAGCCACCAGCTGCTCTGGAAAAGTCCATGATTATCCATGTTCCATAGCTACCAAAAATATTTTGTGCTCAAGTATTCCATAAACTTGAGATTTTTCCTTGGATCAGGCAAAGTGAATTTAACATCTTAAAAAAAAAAAAAAAAAGGCAGACTACACTGGAACCAAATCTAGCATCTTCAGGAGCTGTGACCTAGGGTTCATCAGTTGCAATTGTAAAAAGATTCAAAAAGATTGATGTTTTCATAGTGAAATGTTTTTATTCATCTAGTTTAATCTATGAACAAAAGTTTCTCCATTCCTCTTATTTCAGACTTCTGAACTCCTTTGCAAAATGAGAGATTGCTAGTGAGAATAGCTAATAACTACAAAAATGGAAAAAATTTCACTGGGGACAGGTGCTAACAAGATGTACCATAAAGTCAGCCAGCATAATTAACATTAGTAAGGTAAGAAGTTTCAGAGATTAACTACAGCCTAATACTTTTGGTGGTACACTGATGTTTATTCTGATCTTGCAAACAAAAATAATGTTTGTGAGGCATTGCAGAAAGAACTGGGAAATAAAGCACTTTCTAAAATGCCAGTCTGTGGTGGTTTTGGTTTCTGTTGGATTTGTCAGGCTTTTATTTGGTGTTCTTTCCTTTGTGTATCCATTGTAGGGTCTGTTTTATCTGATCTCTTATGTAGAGTAAGTTAAAATAAGTTAATAGTTAATACTTAGAGCATAAGACACAAGTACTTCATGGCAAGATATGCTATTTCATATATTTTCTAACAAATAGTAGAAGTTACATGTTATTGATAATTATCAGAAGACATTTGAGAGACACTTCACATGCTGTATTTGCTCTTTTTGTCTGTGTTTCAGAATTGATGAGCTCCCATTTCTTTGAGAGTTGTCAGGAGTTTTTAGCAATGAAATTACTATTTTGAAATGAGCTGTAGATTCCTGACTGCAGTTTAAATGGTTTCAAGTAGGGAAACCAGGTTTGTATTTAATTTTGAATGCCCAGAATTTCCATTTTCTTTTGAAAAAGAAGAGACACTGGAGCCACCTCTGCACTCAGAGAAACACTGCTTTTTGGGCATAATGTTACAAAGCTCAACAGGTTTCCAGAGAAGTTTGACTGGCATCATAGCCAAAGATAGCATGGTGTGAGGCAGTGATGCTGACTGCTCTGAGATGCCTGGAGTACTTTGTGTTCATTATTCAGTGTCTTGCTGCTGACATAGCAGTGAGATGATAAAAAGATAACAGTCCATGATAAATGTTTTGTTTAAACCCAGAAACAGAGCCAAGAGCTGACATATTTAAAATTTTTACACAGGGGAGCGTCGTGAGATTTTTGAGGAGTGAAAAATTGTATTAATATCTTCTGTCAGCCAGTGTGCAGCATTGCTTTGTTCTGCAAACAGGTGGAGAGGGAGGGGTTGCAGTCTGGTGGCCTGTGCAATCAGACAGGAGGTCTGTGAGGTGGTGCATGTAAGACATCGGAAGAAGTAGCACTGAAGGGAGAGGCAGTGCCAAAGTTGTAAATGTAGATGAGCTCTAAGCAATTACCAGCATCATTAGGCACCACTTCTGGAGTATCAGCACTGGCAGATATGTGATTATCTGAGCCTGGCCTGACCTGGTTTTCCACATCAGCTGATTGCCCTGCACTTCACCTTGTGAGTCCTTCCCCCTGCCCTGGCAGTAGGGGGTATGGCAGAGGCTGCAGTGTCCCTGCTTAGCACAATGCTCTTCTTTTCCTAAGAAAAGACACAACACGTGTCTTGTGTGTGGGTCACTGGGACTCTCTGGCCACAACATGAGTGCATGAAGTTAAAGCATCTCAGACTGTATGAAGAGAGAAGGAGAGGCTCCTGGATTTCCAGTGCCACTTATTCTGCAACTTGCAACCTTGAATGAAGTCTGTGATCATCCCAGCAAGACTGGATTGGTTTGGATTTAACACAGAGAAAGATTCTTCTTGCATAAGCTTCTTCAAAACTGAGGCCTCATAGGGAGTTTAATGAGGTGCTTGATCTTTCTGGAATATTGGTAGCAGTGATGGACTTGGGATGTATATGAAAGACGAGACTCGGATGTCAAAGACAGGACTGTTGGGGGATAGAATATAAGAAAATAAAGACAGTGTAGAAAGTAATCTTACCCCTAAAGAGTTGCAGCTGGGCCAATTAGCAAAGATTAGGAACAGGCCTGACTTTACCAGGCCACAGCTGTAACCAATGAGAAGAAGATGCTATAAAAGAGGGTGGTGGCTGGGTGAGACGGGAACTGGAGTCAGTTGGCTGCTTTGTGAAGAAGAGTCAGTGCTCTGAGGAGCTGCCTATGCGAAACACCAATAGGTATGAAACTTTTGAGATAAGGAGGCAACAGTATGGAGCCCCTGCAATAAGATGACCACACAGGACAGCAGACACTGGTGCAGAATCACTGGGAATGTCACAAGCAACTGAGGTCTGCAATGCCTGCCTGGGCTAGATTTGTGGCTTCTGAGCATGAGAGAAGGAGCTCTCTAAACTACTGAGCACTGGTATAAAGGTTGGTGTTACTTCTAGTTTGGCTTGCAGTTTTCACCAGCAACTGTGTGTAGCAGCAAATTCATTTGACCTTTCCCATCTTGTTAGGAGTTTTGCCTCACTCTGACATTCTTTGCTCTCTCTGTGTTTTGAGAGAATTGCTGTGCCATAGAGAGTGGCTTCCCGTGCCCCAGGCACAACAGAAATACAGAAATACTATAGTCAGTGGAGCAGAGATACAGGCTTTAGCATGTTTGTGCTTGTCACCGCCACAGCCACGCCCAAATGCAACCAAAAAAGATGTTGGCTACATGGCTTCTTCTTTCCCTGGCCCTGGGAAAGGAAACTTGCCAACACACTCCAAAAGATTTAAATCATAGCCCAAAGATGCTTTTCTCACTGACACGATTTACTCAAGTGTAGTAGACCTGGGGAAGGGGAGCTCTAACACCACTGAAACAATCCTGTTTTGCTCCCAAATGCTATAAATTGGAAGGAAAGACTAGAGAAGCTCTAAATGGCCAACTGGAATGTTGTGGTCTGAAGTACTCTAAAGGATAATTTCACCTGCTTATTATCTGGGTTCATTCTGTTTTCTCTTTTTACTTCTTTTCTGGTGACAATGCTCATCTAAACAATGAGCACAGCTCCAAGGCCAGAATCATCATCTTGCCGGTTTATATTGGTCTGCTGTGAAAGCTAATAACCAGAGTGGGCTTGTACAATTTCTACCTGTATTTCAGGGATTAGGATGTAAACTAAGATCCTGCCTTTTCCTGTCCTGGGAGTGTGTTTGCCTCATCATTCTTAGGGTGACAATGTTTACCTATGTGCATGTAACTAGCTTAAAGAATTTTGGTTTGTTTTTTTGGGTTTTTTTTGGGTTTTTTTTGGTGTTTGTTTTTGTTTTGTTGGTTTTGAGTGGTTTTTTGATTTTTTTTTTGTTTTTTGTTTTTTTTTTTTTTTTTGTCCAAAAAAGAAGAAAAGAGTCAGACGTCTTTCATCTTACTGGTATTTCCTTATATTTGCTCTCTGTTCCTTCAGGATGACAAAGGTACCAACTGCATTAATCCTTTTTGATGGTAGAGGGAGCTCATGGCTTGAGCAGTCAGAATGAATCATGATACCTTGCACAATTCTTGAGGAAACACAGATGGAAAGTAAAGTGCTGTTGATGACTATAATGCACCTTTTTCCATCACTGGCAAAATTAGAAGGGCTGAATGTATCTGCTTAGGAAATTACACATGGCTTTCAGAGACACTCAGATGTTGAAATGCTGTAGCTGCAATTTCTTCTATATCTGAGCACCTCCCTGTTGTGACTGGATTTATCTTCCCAACTTCCTCTGAGGAAATAAGTTGTCTCTCGTATCCCTATGAACACACATGACTGTAACACCAGGAGCACTTGTGTTACTATATGTGTGTATACATAAAGTAGTAGTCCAAGCAAAGTTCTCCAAAGCACCCAAGGAGGAGGCTTCAAACCTCAAGGTAACATTGTGAAACATATTGACTGACTCTTTTGCCTTCTCCTCCTTGTTTTTCATTAGGGATCTGTCACTGTAGCAGTGCAGTTGACAGCACATTAGCAACCAGAATTTGGGGTCTTTGGAGGCTGAAATGCAACCACACTTGAACTAGCCTAGCTTAAATATATTAGCTGATTACCCTAATCAGAAGAAATTTTAATTTACATTGCATCCATTTCATCATTCAGAATTCTTGACATGTGGACCTCCAATCCTAGTGAGCACCACCTGTCATCTGTTTAGTTATATTTCAGCTAATCCTTACTCCTTCAGGAGAAGCTCAGCTGTCACTGTAATGCTCGGTGAGGTTACTTGAAGTGTCAGGGCAACAGCAAAAGGACAATCATACTGCTCCAGTGCCTGAGGCAAAGCAGGCTTGCTTGCAGTGCAGAGCTTTGCGAGCCGGGCTTGGCGTTCGTGCGGGGCCAGCTCTGCCCGGGAGAGGGCACTGATGCCTGGCCACGGGCTCCGGCAGAGTAGCCACGGTGGGCAAAATGTCATAGATCCGATAGGAAGGTCCGTATAGACAGGTGATGTCAGATATGACACAAAATAATCACTCAAATGCAAGTCACAGTATTTCAGTGGCATATTACTGCCAGAAACGTGCTGTCCTGCTGGCTATAGATCCTGTTATAAAGAAGCCAGAAAAGGGGGGCTCTTGCAAAGGGCTGAAGATGGGAAGGCATTACAGTGGCTTTGACTTCATAGACACCTATGAATAAGTACTACAGTTTTGATTTGCAGCTCAGTCTGATTTGTGGAGTAGAAGATACTTTGCCCTCTACAGGGTATACTCAGATACAGGGTACCAAAGCTTTTCTCCTTGGTATCTTGTGACACAGTTGTGTAAAGCTTGACTGCTTGGGCTTTACTCTTACAGGATGTAGTAAGTACTAAAAGCTGTTAGTCTCTTGTAGGTGACACTGTAGAGACTCCTCTGCCCAAGACAAACTTATGTTCCTTTATCACCTAAAAGGTTAATCTGCATGAACACCAATACATTGTTTTTATTTACTTGGATTCCCTGTTAATTCTATCAACCTTTTCCCCTTCTTTTTTTTTGTGCCCTAACTTTAAAAGTTAAAATGAAAAAGGCTGAGACTATTATAACACATACTGTTGAGGCTGATCATATTCTTGGATGTACTTTGAATGAATACCATGATGCATAGATGGAGTAAAGAGGATTTTAGGTCCCAGGATAATATTTGTACAGCAGTTGTAGCTATGGGAAAATTATACCTGTGGGCCACATTTATGGTCTTGAGAGCTCTGGCCCTTACACCAGAAAGAAAAAGAGCCCTGAGGCTGCTCTAACTTCGATGGAACTGCAGCTCACCTGGAGGGCTAAAACATCATCCAGAGTTCCCTGCTCTGCTACTTGCTAATTAAATTAGCATTAACATGAAGAGTCACTGTAGAGAAGTACAGAAGCAGACACTGAAGGTCTGGCTGTAACTCCATAGGAGAAAATAAAAGCAACTTGTTAGCAGTAGCAATTACAAGTGGTGAGTTGTTGTAGACTTTTTTTTTTAAGGTAGAGTCAATAGATTATGTTTGTGAAAGCTTTGGCATCTCAGTCTTCTTCTAGATGGAATCTGGATCAGGGCTCTCTATCCAAACCTTTCCAGGGGGATTGGGGTGGAAGTTATTGCTGTAAAACATCTGTTCACTCCTCTCACTCCAGCTTCAATATTTCCTTCCCACAGCATTTGCATCCCAGCAAGGAGCTCACATAGGCTGTATCCACATTGAATGCAAGCAGTGTCTTGTGAGACATCCCTGAATTGGCTGGAGGCTCCACAGGATTGTGCTACCATGCAGAGGGACTGGCCCAGGCTCTGGGTGCAGGATGGCCACTCACAAGGCCCCACAGATAGGTGAGTGAAGTGTTGCACAGACAGCACTGACAGTCCCAAAACTGGCAGGATTGGTGCTGGATAGGGGAATCTCTGCACTGAGCTGCCTCCCATGGTACAGATATTCCTCTCTACTGCCAAGTTAAAGACCTCACAGGATGAGTGAGCAATGTCCTGACACCAGAATAAGGTCAGTGCCTACGATGGGGAAGCTGAGGAAACCATGGACTGCACCAAAACAGGCCACAAAAGGCCAAGACAAGGAGAGAGTTGGGCTTGGAGCAAAGGTAGGCAGGTAGAGAAGAGCAGAAGACATGTCATGAAACGAGAGTACTGAACATTCAGTTGCATCCCTTAATGCTGCCTATAACTCCATAAGACGGGGAGGCCAAAGATGGTGCAAGGATACAGAAGCCACTTCTGGTAAGGACAGGAGTGAATGAAAACTTGATTTCTCAGTCCCTATTAGAGTAGAGTTTAAGTGTTCTCAAATGTACCCTTGCAGCAGCATTTCTCTTTCTGGACAGGGAGATGGAGATGTGGAGACTAAAGCAGCTTGCTTAAACTCACACAGGAAGCCCATGGCATACCAGAGGAGTAAAGGAAGAAAGTCATCACCCTAATGTGGCATTCCTGCCTGTGAATCTTGCTAAATGGGGCTGCATGGACAGGCAAAAATGTCACACAGTCACTAGTGTCCCCCCTATTCTAGTGAACCCTTGATCTACCAGGCTGCTGAGTGAGTGGGTGCATCTCTGTGGCGCTCCTGTTACCAGGAGAATGGCCTGCAGGAATGAAAAGGAGGTGCAGGAAGCACCAGCTGAGGACATTAGAGGGACAGATTTTGCTAAACTGGCAGAGCAAGACCTATTTAGTAGAGAAAGAAGAGCTCTAAGGATACAAACACAAAGCAGGGAAATTACATTGAACAAAACCAGGATGGCACTTGCAAAGATTAATAGCTGCTTCCTGGCCCATATAATAAGTCTTCTCCTTGCAAACATACACAAAGGATTTTCTGGAAATGCATACTTTACTCCTCCTTACTCTAGTCCAGTTTCCCTGGGTTTCAAGACAAAGGTGCAATTGAATAAATAGCTCAAGATACCTTAAATAAGATCAAACAGAGTTCAAGGCACAATCCAAAACTGCACAGCCAATGAAGGTCCTTTCGTTGTTTTAGTAGGATTCAGATCAGATCCCAGATAGTTTATTTAAACAACAGCAGTAGAGTGAAGCAGAGCAACCTGGAGGAATCCACTTGCACTCATTGTCTGTTAGCTTCAAGTGCTAGTAAAATTATTAATAATAATAAAAATAAATAAATAAAGGGGGAGGGTGGTGAGAGAATATCTCTGTACCGTACTATAGGTGCTAATGAATGAGTCTAAACAGAACTAGGTTGATGATATCTGACGTAGTCATTCCCTGCTCACTGCAGGAACTAGACCTTGAGGAGAATAAATTGGACAAAGACTTGGAGACAAGATGGTGGCTCTTAGACCAAAGCTTTGCTTCCAAGACCTTACTTGCTGAGTTTCTATCTCTTTTGTACCTGATGCCTCATCTTCAGCTGTCCTAGTGTGTCTGAAGTTCCAAGAAATAGATCCACCAGTCTCTCATTGCCCATCCTATCTCTGTCACTGGGAGATGGGATACTGTGAGCTCTCCTCCTTTCAGCCTGCCATGCACAAACTGCTCACTGAGCTTTCTGTCATGAGGGGTCTCAAGACTCCCCCTTCTCATGACAAATCTCTGCTTTGACTGCCTCTCCTTTACATGCTGCAATTACTTGTTTTATGGTATCCATATCTTCTAAGCCATAAACCTACTTTTTTTTCACCTTTCCATCAATTTCTCCTTGCTTTGGATGTCAATGACATTTCAGTTCTTCCTTCTGAATCACTGCTTTTTTTTCAAATATTGTCTTCATTTGCAACAAAGCTGGCAGTATTATCTACTAGAGGCAAAGAAGGAGGACTTTTAAAGACACTAATAAAGCAAAACCCATGCCAGAGGCCAGGTCCTGTGCTACTAGTAACCATTATTTTATGCATGTTTAATGATTATTAAGAAGGAAAAAATATAATATAAACAGAAAGTGATTAAAGTGAAAAGGAAATTCTGAAAACAGGATAGATTTTCTGTATGAGGAGGATGATCCTGAAGTGTGATTCAAGAGGGTGAAGCAATACCAGTGATCTTGATACACTGTAGTAGGACTCTGGAGAAAGCACTGTATCGAATTCCTAGCTCTGCCACGGCAAGAATGACCTCAGGTATGATTTAATTTCACTGAGGCTTACCTTTCTGTGTGTAAAGGGATATTGTTCTTTCTTTGACTTGCAAGATTGTTCTGAGATGTTTTTATCCTACAGAGATTGTGTTCAGAGGAGCACCTCAGAGAAGCTTCTTTTGTTAGAAGAGATGCAGTTACTGGTGAAATGTTGTAAAGGCAAAAATCATGAAAATTTCAAAACTGCCAAGCCCTGAGGAAACAGGGGTAAACTCCTTCGTGGAGGCTGTTTCTTCAAACCAGTCAGGTGGTTTAAGTGAGGAGTCTGTCTCCACATATCTTTCTTCCTCTGTTTGTGATAAACCTTTAGCACCAGGATAGTTGCCTAAATGGAGAGGACTGGGTGGGTGTCTGTGCAGAGAATTTTGTTACTCCATACCTCAGCTGAACGAAATAATTTATCGTAACAAAAGAGGCTCAGCAGTGAGGTTCCCAAGACTGCTGCCCTGCACATGTACAGACACAAAGGCACTGCTCTGTCTCTGCAGTCCATGGACTGGTTGTGCAGTACAACCGTCTACTTGAAGGTGAGATAGAACAGCACAGTGTCCATAACTTAGCTTCAGTAAAAGACCTTTCCAAATGCTGGGGGAACAATTTCCTTTTATTGTTCTTGAGATTCCTCATTGGCTAAAAATGATTCTAGAAATTCTCAACCTTCTATCTACGCCACCCTGGAACAGGCTGTATCGTTCAATACTCATATTTGTGTGTACCATTACAGTTCTCTCAGTGCTGTCTTTTGCAGACACCTCCTGAGACCTCTTGGCCCCATTTCACTGTTTTAGTGACCAGCATGCATCTGACCCTGTAATATTACAAATTGCCTCAAAAACTGGCTGGCCCCTTACAGCTGGTGGTTGAAGATGGGGGCAGTTTAGGAGCCCTCCAAAGAATTTCAGCTGCATGCTCCTGAAAGTGGCTCTGAAGAACGTCAGGATACAGGTTATGCCTGCTTTTGCTTCAGTCCATCTCTTCATCACCAGAAGGTAGGAGACATGGGCCCATGCTAAATCCCAGCCTGCCTTCTCTGGCAGGGTGGGAAGGGGAGGCTGCTCCAGTCGTGCCTTCCCAGCAGCATCTCCCAGTCGCAGCTGCTGGATAATGGACAGCACCCCCAGGTTTTGCTGCGAGAACTTAATCTGCACTGTCGTCCCTCATTACTGCCACTCAGTATCCAGCCATGAAGGGTCACAAGATGACATGGGAGAGGTCGGGCAGGGGGTGTACAAAAGGGTCTGGCGAGCATCGGGAAATATGGAAAGGCTAAAAAGAGAACAGCTACCCAAACGATGCTCCAAGCGGCTCGGTGGGGATGGGGCTGAATGCGGCCGGGTTCACACTAAGTTTTCCCGAAGGTCACTCTGCAATATGGTAACTCCCAGCCCGGCTGTCAGCGCCCATAAAGGCAGCTCTCCTCACAGGGCGGGGGTGGGGAAGGGAAGGAGGTTTGTTTAGAAGCATTAGTGCACCCCTCCCCCGGCCCCATTAGTGGCCCTTATTAAACCAACACAGACAAAGAGCAAAGATGCCCTCGTTAATGGAGAGTCTTCGATAATTACTCTGCTCTGCCGCTTCTTTTGGGGCCTGAATAGCCTTTGAATAATGTTTCTCTTGCTGTGGTTGCAGACAATACCCTCGCAGACTGCTTTAAGCGGTGCCAATCCCATTAGCAGAAGAATAGCAGAGCTTTCTGGTTGTGTGGGTGTGTGTGCTCACGGGAGGACAGCGGGCTCGCAGTGGGAACAAACTACGCTGCCCACTGCCTCGCTCTTCTCCCCTGCCCTCCAGGGCCCAAGGAGGCAAAGCAGGCAAGTGCTGGGCCAAAGTCCCTCTCCGAAACCATCCTCCTGTTTCATCTCCCCGTGCCAGGGGCTTCTGAGAGCCCGCTCACTGCGGGAGCGCAGAGCTGGGCATGGCTGCCCACCAGGAGGGAAGGGAAGGGCTGGGAGGCAGAAACCCCGCAGGACTGGGGTGCCTCCAGCCTTTCCTCGTATTCCCTAGGCACAGCTCTCCTCGCACCCACACAAAATTCCTAAGGGGATGGAGGCCCAAGAGCCCTCAGAATCAGGCAGAGCTGCTGCTTTACTATACAGAGATCAGACACTCATCCTTCTGCATGCAGTTGATTACAGAGCATGAAAATGGCTGTACCACCCAATTTTGGGAGGGTTAATTTTGTGCTGCACACCCTAAGCAGGAAGCTAATTAGTGTGTTCAATGCGTAGCTATCAGCCAAACTTGGAAGAGTTGGGATAATTCTACCTGAGCTTTTCTCTTTGATCTCCCCTTCTGCATGATAAGTGAAAATAGTGTATAGCCGGGCTGGCTGTGGTGTTTAATTTAATCATCTGATGATATTTATTTTCACAAACACGAACTCAAGCAACAATTATCAGAAAGGCTTCATCTTGTGCTGAACGCTCCAGTTAATGGCCTTTCTGTGAGGAAATAGCTTCTATGTAGGGAGTCAGTAATTAAAACGTGTGAAAAAAGGCCACTTTTTCAGAGGCAGTGGAAGACTGGTGGGTCTAATGCTCAGCTGGTATGAGCTGTCAAGTCGGTCAATGGCCACAATAAATGGGCATCACTCCTTCCTCATTATGCCAGCAAAGGATGTTCCCAGAGGGTTGTTGAGACTTTCCCAGTTCGAGAAGGAGGTTTGGATTCTTGTGAGCAGGAGCCAAATTTAGGAATACATGGTGCAGTGATCTGGTCTTTGTAAGATGATTCTGGAGTACTCATGGAAGATGTTCAGATTGAAGGAGCACTTGGTCCTGCAAACTGTCCCACAAGGAGAGCAGCTGTTTCCAGTATTGCTAAAGAGAGAATTTTTTTCCTCTTTCAACACAGTGTTGAAACTAAGGAAAAAAATACATTTGACACATTCCAAGTAGCAGGAAGATGAGTTCCTTTATGTGACTTTGTCATATGGAAAAACAATGTACAATTTTTTTACTCATACAGGTAACCACCATATGGGTCCATGCATAGTTCAGTATTGGGCCTTGTGCTGATGGTTGGTGAGCAATGAGAACAGAGCTGGAAGTCAAGCTGTGAGGAAGGTTCTGATAGATAGCCACCACTGTCTTTAACCAGTATATCTTACTGGAAACAGCTTGTGATTTCATGTTGAGGGACAATTATATGCTTAAAAATGAAAATTGCAAAATCTGAAGCTTGCAGTCTGAAAGATATACATAGTTATAACAAAAAATTTTTCAAAGATTCCTATTTCTTCAGAACCAAGAGTGTTTTCCTGCAGCTCTTAAAGGTAGTGTTGATATTTGGGTTTTTTTTCCCTCTCTCCATTGGCACACAGACTGCAGGAAGAAAAATATCTGCTAGAGAAATCAACTAGAGGAATCAGAAGCAAGAAAGAGATAGAGATAGGTTTTTTACAGTGCACATTGCCTGCTTTTTTCCCCTGACAGCTGTGTCCCCCCAGGTAATGGACCAGCATGCCCTGTGCACGCTCTGGTTGGGTCTGAAAGGAAATGTTTAGTTTGTAACTGGAAGAGAGACAAAGTTCTGAAACATTGTCAGACACAGGAGTTCTAGAGAGTCTCTTTCCTTCTGAGGAGCCCCAGAGATAAATGTTTAAGTACCATTTGATAAAAGGCTGGATAGTGGTAAATAACATGGCAGGTAAAGATACTGCCTTGTCCCTTGTGGGATCTAGGTGGATACAGCTGAATTTGAATAAAAAAAAAAAATCAATCCTTGACTGTTACACAGTGAAGAAGCCATTCATCTTTGGGAGCAGGACTTGGAATGTATGGTGGTCTAGTAATATGTTATCTTTGGATTTACTTTTGCAAGATTTACTTTTCAGCTAGATTAACTGGTATTTTGTAGGCCAAAGGCTCTCATTTATCCTTGCTGTCACTGAAGTGAGATAACCCATTCAAATACTACTTAGTTAATTATGCCAGTTGCATTTTGCAGTATACACTAAATGGTTGATGTGTGAGGAGATGAAAAACTACTGGTGGAAGCTGACCTAACTCCTGCCTTTTGCTGTGGATTGTGAATCTGCTTGATGGATTCAGTTCAGCACCACATCTTGTGGCTCCACTTCAGCACTAACCTGGTCTCTGCTGCTCAGCACAGCCCCACCGAGTCCCCAGTGGCACAGCCAGCGAGACACCAGCCACCCCTGAGCCCAGACCTGTGCATGGTGCTGGTCAGAGGTGGTTTGTGTGCATGGGACGTCAAAATTCAGGTGCATCCCTCATCCAGACATGGCTATTTCTTGCCGTGAGGTTATTTTTACAGACCAGTACTGCCGGGTGGTTGCCATGCTACCTGAAACAAACCATTTGTAATTGTCTTGTAAGTCTTTGTTTTCCTTGGGCAACAGGTTCTGCTGGAGATCCTTTGCTGCCCTGTGGCGATACGGATTCATGCACCACACTGCTCCTGCTGCCTTCGCGCCCAGGTGAGCGAGCCCGCACTGGGGACTGTTGAAATCCGTTAGGATTTTGCGTTTGCCATCTCTCCTGAAGCCAAGTGCCAGCTCCCTGAGAACCTCGGCTGCTTGAAACTCGGAAAGGTGCAGCTTTACCCTGTGTGTTTATACAGGAAATCTGTGGTTTTCCTAGTGCCGTGTTTTAAGGGAAGTGAGACTGGCGGGTTGCCGGGACGGG